CGCTTATACGGATTTCTTTAAAAAAAACGAGAATTTAATTTTTTTAGTATTTTTTGTAGTAATATTGTTTTGTTGTAATATTGTTTATGGACGTAATTGAAAAAGATCCTTGCCAAATTCGTGAAATTTTCTTAAATACATTTTTTAAGGATTTTATAATAAATAAAATAAAAAAATCATGGACTTTCTGGAAAAAACATTCTAATTTTTTAAGAACTTATTTTTCCGATGACTTTGTATGTACGTATGCTTAAGAACTTCTTACCAAAAAATCGTAGATTACTAAGAACTTCATGCTATAATATTTTTTAACAAGTTCCTGGCAAAAATTGTAATTTCGGTGAGTTAAAAAAAGTTCGAAATTTCCATTAAAAATATTTTTTTAAAGCATTCTGACAGATTTTTTTTTGGTATATTCAACATTTTTGTAGGTACAAAGTTAGCTAAAGAAGCATCGTAAAAAATCAAAAATTCTCATCAAAATCTTCGTTACACAAATTTTAATTTGTATAAATATTAGTTTCGATTTTATCTAAATTTCCCTGTAATATGTCGATAATTTTACTTACATGTTGCCGATTGTATGGCGCGCTGAAAGAAGCACTCATTTTGAAATGTCTGCGTGGTACAGTTAATTCTGGCACAAATTGGTTTATAATCCAAAGGGCATGGACAGGGACCCACATTTATGATTTGCCAATCTACATAAAATTAAAAATAAGAAAATAAAATAAATAACTATTTTTTTAAGTTCCTCTTTTCTTGTGGAGAATGCTACACTTACTTCTTCCCGTGGCTTGTATATCATCATAAAAACTATCCAAACTGGAAAATTCTTGAAGATTACTATCATAGATGGCACAGATGGTTTGTTCATTTGAGGGGCAGGAAGTCGAAACACAGGTACCATTCGAGACAAATTGCCAATCTAAAAGGACAGAGAGGTTTTAGTTAATTTAATATTTGAATGACGTTTTACACGTAATTTTAGAGTCATATGTAAAGCGATTTATTTCTATATTCATCTATATTCAAAAAAAAAATTAAGCATACTTTTAGGCTCTTCCCGTCATTTTTCAACTCAAAAATGGGTAATATTATAAATTAATGGTAGTATGAGTATAGTATAAGTATATTTTATAATATTTTCTAGTATATAATAAATATATTATATAAAAATTGTTGAAGTTGCCTAAAAGTATGCCATAAAAATGCTAAATATAAAATGTGAACAAGTCACTTTACATTTGATTCGAACATGATGTGGTGTGAACCAGCAATAATGGGAATTTACAAAAGATTTGCTATGTTCCAGAACTGCAAGAATATACAAGTTTTTACTACTATAACCGATTTTTCCTTTAAGGAATCGAAAAAAAATATAAAACTGTTTTTTGACGTACTGGAGTAGAGCAATTATTCTCTGTTTTTTGAACTCACTTTCTTTTTTCTCACAAATATATTTTCGCATTTCACAAAGATTTGTAAAATTCTTTTGGACATTCTGATATGAGCCGCAAACCGGTTGATTGATATTGTTACAATATTTTGGGCAATATTTGTAGATGTCTTCTTTATTGGGTGGTGGCGGCGGATTGCAGTCACTTAGGCTGGTAACGTTTAGAACTGGAAATTAGAAAATGAAAGAAAACTGAATAATTTAATATCCATACAGCCAAATTACTACTAAATGGACTCTTGAACACAATTTGGGCGCCACCATTTCAAAAACAACTATGAATTCAAATTCTATGAATGAATTCAAATTATTTCATTTCTCAACTCATCACTTTGAACATAATTTTGTCCATCCAAAAACTTTAGTTCACTGTCCAACTTACCAAACTGCCCATCCCTTAGCTGCCTTCCATTGAAATCATTCAATTCACACTGGTTTTCAAATAGGAAATTTTCGAATCCATTTGTTCCGCACACTGGTTCCGTGCCCATTATACATTCTGGCTTTTTGGCACTTTTGTATTCCGATGGTGAGGATTCAGACTTATAGCTATCGCATGCTGTCAGGGCACCCTTGCAGCCACAAAGAAATAAAAGAATAAACCAAAACATGCTGCTCAACTCTTGGCTATAAAATGCCAACCTATTGCATACTCAATTTTGGTTTTATATATTCTGAAATTAAAAAAAAGAAATGCGTATTTATTCTTTGAAAATAATTATCTGCATGAAACGCATACATAAGGTTTGTGCTTCGGTTCAAACAAGGGATTGAAACGTGCATTTTCTAAATTAACTTAAAAACCACCACCACGACGACGAAGAAGAGTCTCATTCGTCTTGTATTACCATTCTTCTACGCTGTATTAAAGAAAAACAAAGAATTCCAAAATTAGTTATTGGTTTTATTTACAATTCTGTATAGCTAAGAAAAGATGACGAAACGTAAATGAATTCTTTAAAATGGAAAAAAATAATGCCAATAGATGTTGACAGCTTTGCCACTTGTGATGAGTAATCGAAAAAAACTCGTGACCTTTTTTTAGGATTTTTCCGGGGAAACCAGAATTTTTTCAAAATAACTTTTTAAAGAAAAATTTTTAAGAAATATTTTTTTTTAAATAGTTTTTATACCCTCCTCTATACTATGGAGGGTATATTAAGATTGTCATTCCCTTTGTAACTCCTCGAAATACTTATGTTAGACCCTTGATTCCTAATCAGCGCACAATTCTAAGTCTATTTAGCGATCTTCGTATGTATGCTTGTTGTAATCACGCAATCTTTCGAACGAATTGAGATTAAAAGCTAATATTTAGCACCTATGTATATTTTGTCAGTAGGAAGGTCAAGTCTGTAAATGGGCTATGTTGGTTCATGTTTTCGTATAGCCCCCATATAACTGTACCTGTCGATACTGGACTTGTTGACGATTTGTATCACATTTTTAAAATAATTTTTATATTATTGTTACTTAGAGTTTGTAATGGGTTCTAGCTCTTGTAGAAGAATATTGTCTATATAGGTCCCTACATAGACCCCACATAATGATACTTCCCGAAAGTCAGTGTTTTAGGTATTTAAGCCACATTTTTAAACGAATTGATACAAATTCGTTTCATAGATTTCATAATGGGATCTACCTCTTGAGGCAAAACATATTCTATAAAGGTTCACATTTTCGCATAGCCTCTATATAACTACTGTACCTCACGATATTCGGTATTCTGACGATTAAAGCCATATTTTCAAATGGAATTGTTTAAAACTCGGTACTTATGGTTTGTACTTATGATCTATCCCCTGTGGTAGATCATTGCACATACAGGTTCACGTTTTGTACCCCATGTTTCAGTTCTTTTCAAAAATCGGTATTTTCATGATTTTAGCCACATTTTTCAAGTTTGTAATAGGTTCTGTCAACTGTGGCAGAGAACTGCTGCAGTAGGCTTATAAATTATTATATCACTCATGAGTAGGTACCTCAGGGTTTTTGGATAATTTGGCGACTATAGCCTCATTTTTAATTTTTTTGGTATTTGAAACTTGCAGTAGATAACAACGATTGAGCTGGAAAACGGTAAAAGTCGTAAAAACGGTCGGTTTTTACGACTTTTTACCAACCGACTCAATGGCAAAAATCGAAGCGGACCCAATATTCAATCCCAATGTTTTTAAATTGAAAAGTTTTCTTTACCTCATGGGGGTGGGCATTAAAATTTCGGCCTGGTCTTTTGACAAATATAATAGCTTAAATTTTTAATACCTTTTAGTCCGCTAAAAGTACTAATTGTTCAAATTTTCAAAAACCCTGACCCTACACACCAACATTGACCTGCATGCAAAAATTCAAGATTTTTCCTTCAATCGTTTCCCAGGCGGGATTCCAACTCTATTCACTCACCCAATACCCAATTGAATACCACTTAGTACTTTTCGAACAATTATAGGACCACAGACACCAACAGTGACGTCTATATGATATTCAGAATTTCAACTCGAACAATTTTAGCACACATTTTCAATACTACTTTTATATTTTAACCGCAGATACCAACAGAGAAATCCATATCAAATTTCAGGATTTAAACTCTTTTCTTTCACCCAATGTCAAATTTGGTACTATTTAGTATTTTAAGTACAATTATAGTACACATTTTCAAAACCACCTCCACATCTCAATTGCATGTACCAATAGAGACATCTACATCAAATTCCAGAATTTCCGCTCAATTCCTTCGCCCAATACCAAATTTCGAACTTCGTACAATTATAGTACACATTTCCAAAATCATCACCATACCTCAATCTCAGATTTCAAAACAACCCTTATGACCAAATTTGAAGAATCCAATGCCAAATTTAGTACTTTTCGTAAAAATATAGGACACTTTTCCAAATCAGAATTATAGAAGAATTTAATTATATTTATATCCTTTCGACCACTACCAAATTTAATACCATTTAGTGCATTTAGCATAATTATGGTGCACATTTCCGAAACCACCAAATTTCAGATTTCAAGCAATATCTTTTCACCCAATATCAAATTGTACCAAATATAGTACAATTTTCGTGCACTTGTAATACATATTTCCAAAACCACCTCCTTATTACAAAACAACTATCAACAGGGACCCCAATACAAAATTTCAAATTTCCAGCTTCATCCGTTCACTCTAAGCCAAACTGTTTCAAATTTAGTACCTTTTAGCACAGTGCAAATATCAAACTTACTTTCCAATCTTGATTCTCATATCAAATTCCAAGTTTTTAGCTCTATCCGTTCACACCATACCAAATGGTACCATTATAGAAGTTATGTACCATTTCATTCCAATTCTAGTTCATTCCGTTTGTTCGATAAAGAAAATTTCATTTTTAGTACAAAATATTTTTCGTACCCTTTAGGCATAAATTTAAAAAACCCAGCATTATTACACGGCTACGCACCAATATTGCAAAGATTCCAGCTTCGGCCGTTCCTTTGGTTTTCAGTTAGCCTATCAGCTATTTCACATCGTTTTTTACAAATTATTGAGTTGATTATTGAATCTTTATTTATTTTGAATTTTTTGTTAATTAAAATCTGAGGAAAAGGTAGTAAAGGGGATTCAAATAAAATTATTAAATAATCCGGATTTTTTTCTGAAAATTAAATTTTTCGGTTACAAAACGTTCTTAAAGCGGCGCATTGTTGAAAACATTTCCTTCGGCATAGATACCATAATCGTTGCCAACATTATTACGATACGAAAGAACCGAACCATTTGGCAAACCTTTGAAGGGTGAACTCTGGAGGGCACTCAAGAATTGAGCGAAATAGAAGGCAGATGAAGGATCGAATTGTGATTCAGGTGGGGTTAAGATTTCATTCAATGCTCCAACAGCAAAGCTTGGATCAGAGGTGTTATTTTCAAGTAGGGAATCGTCAGTTGTTGGGTCGGTGCTGGCCTCTGGAGTTGTGGGTTCAGGTGTTGTGACTTCAGGGGTGGTCACTTCTGGGGTTGTGACCTCTGGGGTTGTATCCTCGGGAGTTGCGGTTTCATCTGTGGAAGGCTCAGGAGTTGTGGTCTCAGGAGTGGTTACCTCGGGAGTTGTGGTTTCCTCTGTTGTAGGCTCAGGAGTTGTGGTCTCAGGCGTAGTTACCTCAGGGGTTGTGACTTCAGGGGTTGTAGCTGGAGCCTCAGTAACTTCCGGGGTGCTAGGAGTTATTACAGGCGCAGCTGTAGAGCTTGTCTCTGGCGGAGGCACATGACAGAAACCAGTCGAAATTTGTATCCACGCTGGAATGGAATAAAAATTAGTCAAATAATCCTTTTGAAAGTTCTTAGTGGATCCTACTTATGCCCGTTCTATAGGTTTCCTCTTGCACAGCACAGGGACTGCTGAAGGTTTTAGTTTCCACCAAATTTGTAGCACACACAGGATCAAATGTCGTTGGGCAGGCATTATGCACAGCCGGTGGACACGGACCGGTACAGTAAAACGTAAAGGCATAACCATTTTTATTGTAATCCAAAAATTGTTGTAAATTGTAAAAGGTTTTATAATATCCATTTAGAACACCACACACGGGACCGGATGGATGGAAGCCACCATGAGGTCGATATAAAAACGATGAAGGATGTTGAGAGGTTGCCCATGGGACAATTGTGGCCCGGGAAGACAATGCCATTAGACAAATAACCGATATTAGAAATATGGCCTTCATAATTGTTGTTTAATTATTGTTGCTGGGTAGTTACTGTAGTCTCATCATCGAATAGCTGCCGTATTTAAATGCCAGGCAAAATATCAAGTTATGTAATACATTCCATTCATAAATAGTTAAGAATTGAGTAACTTTTATTTTGTAGAAGTGGATTTGTAACCTTTGTTTGTTATGCAGGCAAATTTCTTCGAAGTGACTTTGTGTTGCTTTTTTTCGTTACATGCCACGTATTCAGTAGGTTCCATTGATCGTGTGGCTTGACGTTTTTTTTTTGGGTTCCGTATTCGAATATGAATTCCTTGGTTTCGTTTTGCAGGAAATTGTGCACATCATCATATTTTGGTTTTTCTATACTCAAATAAGAATTCGTTTTTGAATGTTTGGAATTTTGGTAGCCTTATTCCGGATGTTCAACAAGCCACCACCAACAATAAAAAATTCATATTTATTTTTAAATTCAATTTTTTTATTTTATTAATTTCTCACGTTCTGACAATAACACATGTCGTAAAACCTTGTAGAGGCTTTCATAATTAGATCACGCATATAAATTGCTTTTTAAATTATTAATAATACTTTAGAGTAATGAAAAAAACATGTCAAAATAGGTCGAGTTTGGCCGAGTCGATCTTTTGATACCCTACAGCATGAGGGAATATATCCCATGAGGGAATATATCCCATGAGGGATAATATTCGTCAATATGTTCGTATTTACCTATTCCAATTTATTTTTAGTTTTTATACCCTACACCACAAGGTGGTCAGAGTATTATGTCTTTGTGCATTTGTGTGTAACAGGCAAAAGGAAACGAGATAGGCCCATAGTTCCTTTTGATGATCTGCATAGAATCACATCCTGAGTCGATTTATGCATGTCCGTCCGTCCGTCTGTCCATGCATTTTTGTAAACAAAGTACAGTTCGCATTTATTGTCCTATCCAGATGAAATTTTGCACAAATAATTTGTTTGACCAAGGACGAACCCTATTGAAATTGGAAATAATCGGTAAAAATTTAGATATAGCTCCCATATATATCTTCGTCCGATTTGCTTTTTATTGTGCACCAAACGTGTAATATCTGCCAGAATAGTATGGAATTTTGCACGTACGATCAAATTAGGCTTGAAAATAAGTATGCCAAATTTGATTCGGTTCAGATATAGCTATAGCTCCCATATATATTGTTCATCCGATTTATTATTTTTGTCCTCCGTAGCCGTAATATGCACTCTGTAACAACAATATTTGGGGAAATATATCAAATATAGTCCAGAAATATATTTGCTAAATTTTATCGAGATCGGTTCAGATTTGGATATAGCTCCCATATATAAGTTCGTCCGATTTACCTTTGATTGTGCACCAAACGTCTAATATTTGCCCAAATGGGATGAAATTTGGCACTTACGACCGAATTGAGTCTAGAAGCTAGTATGTCAAATTTGCTGAAGATCGGTTTAGATATAGCTATAGCTCCCATATATAGTGTTCATCCGATTTGTTATATTTGTTACCCACAGCCGTAATATGCACTCCGTAACAACGATATTCAGGGAAATATATCAAATAAAGCTCAGAAATATCTTTGCCAAATTTTATCTAGATCGGTTTCGATTTGGATATAGCTCCCATATATATTTTTATCCGATTTAAAATTAATTGTGCACCAAATAGGCAATAGAAGTCCGAATTTAAAAGATACAAATGCTTCGGCATATTTAGTCCTTTGAATTTTAAATTATAATTATAATCATAGCGTGTATTATTGAGTTCTCCAATAAAAACTTTTAATTATTATGCGGAGCTCTACTAAATTAGCAAAGTGGTGTAGGGTATCATAAAGTCAGCCCCGCCCGACTTTAAGACTTTCTTTACTGTTTTTTTTTTTCGAGAATGTCTTAAAAACCCTGTAAATATAGAAAATGGGGTACCACCGATATATGGGGGTGCCTCTCAGAGTGCTTTACTGTTCAATTCTAAATTTAAAACAATTCCATTAAAACCAGTAAGGAAAGATCTTGCGGGGCCGACTATATGATACCCTAAACCACTGTGCATATTTGGTAGAGCTTCCGTAACAAAAGAGTTTATTTGAAGTGGATCATACAACCTGTCAGCATTTGACCTTAGAGCAGGTATAATTTGATTTCAGAGGAAACTAATATATGGGGGACATATCCAATTCTTAATCTATTTTGACGGATACACTTTAGTCTTCCATACCAAATAACATTGCTATAGAGTGCATGATATCACTTCGAGAAGGATTATATTATCCAAATCTTAGCCTATCGTAATAAAAATGGGCAAAGGTATTTCCGAGCTCTATAACATATCTGGGACCAAATATCATTCTTGTGGAGTGCATATTACGAATCTGAGGGACTTAAAATTGAATGATACATATATATGGGAACTATAGCTATATCTGAACCGATTTTCACCAAATTTGATGTACTTGCTTCTAAACTGAAGTGCCAAAATTCAGGTCATTTGGACTGATATTGACCGTTTGGTGCACAATTAACCCAAAATAGGTTGAAGATATATACGGGAGCTATATCTAAATTTGGACCGATTCTCGCCAATAAGCTACGTCCATGGGTCAAATCGGATAATATATGTGACCTGCATTTTGTTCACAAAAACACACGAACAGACGGACGGAATGACATGGTGTAGGGTATAAAAACAGAACGCAATTGAAACATGACTAGATTCCCTCAGACAGGTGACCTAAGTGCTATGTGCGAGCATCATTGCAAGTATGACAGTTATGGGATAATATGACCATCTCCCGCCCATATTCGAAGACGGGCCATATAAGAAGGACTAAGGGACCTGTTTACTTTCGTATATCCCCAGCCTTATGTCCACATATAAACGTTTTAAGACCCTATGGGTATATAAACGGTTTAAAACCCTATAAATTATCTGACCGTTTCAGTATATATGGAGTTAATTTTGTTTTGTGAAGCATTAAATCGAAAAAGGTGGAAAAATTGGACGAACAAAAAAAAATTAGAAAATATTTCCGCGTTTTTGTAGCAACATTAATTCATAAATTTTCTGATATAAAATGGAAACATGGAAATTACATATATGTCGGCCTCGTTCGACTTTAAGGCTTTCTTTACTTGTTAATTTGGTGACTTATAGTCAATTTTTTGGTAGAATATTTTTTCTTTTGAGATTTTTTGCCTTAAAATAATTTTATGTTACTTTCATGCATTAAATCGATAAAAGGTTGAAAAAAATTTAATAAAAAAAAATAGAAATAAAATATTTTCTCGTTATTTTTTTTTCCAGCAACGTTGATGTCAATATTTTCTTGATATATAATGGAAGAAGAGTTGTTTTTTATTTGAGTTCTAGTGAAATTAGATTAGGAATATTTTTGTCTTTTACGTCATGCTTTTAAAATGATGTTTTGTAGGAGAAGTTGTCACAAACTCACATTAAGTGCGGATTTAACCCGGATTTAAAATGAATTCTTGGCGCTTAGGTAGGATTTAGACTTTTTATGGCAAATATTTATGGCAAATATTGTGTCTTGCTACAATACCGTTTTAAGGAAGTATTGAAGCATTATTTTCAAAAAGGTGTTCGAGGGTTAAAATTTCCGAACAAAATAATTCTTGTATTGTTATCTGTAAAATTTACAAAGACACTTTCAAAACACCGATACACGTGTCTTCTATTTTTAGCTTTACTTTCATAATCTACTGCACTTTTCCTTAAATTATTTTTTGTGTTGCACAGTGTTATATAGGGGCAATATGACCGATCAAACTCAAAAAAAGAAAAAAAAAGACTGACGGAAGTTCTCTTTGCATCTCGATCGATTCCTGGTTGCAACCTCTTGGCCAAGAAGCCAAGTTCAAACGCCAAAAACATTACTGATCCCAAAAAAAGTCCCAACATTTTGCATGCTGAATAAATTAAAGTTTATTTTATAGAATATATAAATAATTAAATAATTTCGACAGGGACTAAACATAAGAGAAAGAGAGGGAGAGTATTTCCATGAGTATCCTTAATCGCTACATTCTCCACGAATTATTGTAGACACTGTGGATTATTGTAGACACTACCTTCCGAATAAATGCCATATTTGTTGTTGACATTATTTCGGTAGGAAAAGACGGGAGTACCGTTGCTGCCCGGATTTGACTGAACGGCACTAAGCCACTGGGCAAATAATGCGGGAAGTGATGGCGTTGAGGGTGTAGCTTTAGTAGTTTCTTCGCTTGGAAGTACTTCATTAAATGGCAGAGCCGCTAGCTTGAAACCTAGTCTAAATCCAGATTCATTTTCAATTGTAGTATCTTCTGGTGGTGCTGTTTCGGTAGTTGTGGTGTCATCTGGAATGGTTGAGGTTTCAGTGGTGGAGACTTCTTCCGTTGTTGTTGTTTCTAGTGTGGTGGTCTCAGTGGTTGAGACTTCTTCTGTTGTTGATTCCACGGTGGTGGTGTCAGCGTTTGAGAGCTCTTCTGTTGTTGTTTCAAGGGTGGTGGTGTCAGTAGTTGAGGCTTCTTCCGTTGTTGTTGTTTCTAGGGTGGTAGTCTCAGTGGTTGAGACTTCTTCCGTTGTTGTTTCTAGGGTGGTGGTTTCAGTCGTTGTTACTTCTGGAGTTGTGACTTCAGGAGTTGTAACTTCTGGAGTTGTGACTTCTGGCGTTGTGACTTCTGGAGTTGTGACTTCTGGAGTTGTGACTTCTGGAGTTGTGACTTCTGGAGTTGTGACTTCTGGAGTTGTGACTTCTGGAGTTGTGACTTCTGGAGTTGTGACTTCTGGAGTTGTGACTTCTGGAGTTGTGACTTCTGGAGTTGTGACTTCTGGAGTTGTAACTTCTGGAGTTGTAACTTCTGGAGTTGTAACTTCTGGAGTTGTGACTTCTGGAGTTGTGACTTCTGGAGTTGTGACCTCAGGAGTTGTAACTTCTGGAGTTGTGACTTCTGGCGTTGTGACTTCTGGAGTTGTGACTTCTGGAGTTGTGACTTCTGGAGTTGTGACTTCGGGAGTAGTGACTTCTGGGGTGGTGACCTCTGTTGTTTCAGTTGTAGTGGGGGGTTCTGTGACCGATGGCTCAGTTGTTGTTACCTCTGGTGGGTATACTTGGGGTGTCGTGTATTTTGTAGTTGTATACGGCTTGTAAGTTGAGCTAGTTGCCGCGTAGCAAGGACCCTTTGCTACTTGTATCCAAGCTGGCGAAAATAAAAAGATTAGAATCAAGACAATATAAAAGTTCCAATTTCTTTACTTACTTACGCCCGTTTGGGCAGATTCCTGAGCCAACAGGCAATAATTATTGAAAGTTTTTGTGACCAACAGATTTGTGGCACACACTGGATCATATATCTTTGGACAGCCAGCAACAGGTGGCCGAACACTTGGACATGGGCCATTACAATGGAATTTATAGCCCAGACCATTTCTAACAGCATCCAAAAATGCTTGTAAACTGGGAAATGTTCGATAGTAACCATTTAAAACACCGCACACTGGTCCTGTGGGCTGGGAGCTGTAACCCGGTGCCCCAGGCTGGTAGCTATAACCTGGCGCCCCAGGCTGAGAGCCATAACCCGGTCGAAACACTGATGCCCCAGGCTGGGGTCCATAACCCGGTCGAAACACTGTTCCCCCAGTCTGGGAGCCATAACCCGGTCGATACGCTGGTGCCCCAGGTTGTGAACCATAACCCGATCGAAACGAATACGTATTATAAGAATATGGATAATTGGAATAACTTGAAGCTTGACTGTAGGCCACACTTGTTGCACTTGCTGGCAATGCTCCAAGGCAAATGGCTACAAGTAAGAGTATGACTTTCATGATTAGTTTGTTGTTGTTGTTGCAAAATGCTACTGTACCCTGACACTTGAAATTTCGTGGTATTTAAATACTAAACGAAAGAAACGTGCCTTATGCAAGAGTTTAATTTGACTGGATTTTGAACTCAATGTATTTCAAATTAGGCAATTCCAAAACTATTGGTTTTGAACCCCACCAGACATATGTATGCACATCGCCATGTCGTCTTCTGCTGCTTTGTGGGTGGCAGCGGGAATGAGTGGCTTTCTTTGTTTTTGCTATCTGAATTCTAAGCTGTGGTTTTCAAAGAACTGAGTGTTAGTTTCATTTGGACAAACTAAAAATAAAAAAACAGTTCCGTTGAAAACTTTACGAATTTTGGATTCTTTTTCCATCCATGGAGGAATGTAGGAAATGAGAATATGACCACTCAATGTGGCAGATCAAACAAAATTAGTTTTGCTGAAATCTGCCAAATGGCGCCCAAACAAGGACAGAGCCTTTAGTAAGGATAATCATAAGGCTCGTAACATTGTGCAATACAAAACCAGTAAAGAAAGTCCTAAAGTCTGGCGGGACCGATTTTATGATACCCTACACCACTTTCCTAATTTAGTTGAGCTCCACTTAATAATTAAAAGTTTTTATGGGAGAATTCAATCATACACGCTATGATTATAATTATAATTTAAAATTCAAAGGACTAAATATGCCGAAGCATTTGTATCTTTTAAATTCGGACTTGTATTGCCTTGGTGCACAATTAATTTGAAATCAGATAAATATATATATGGGACCTATATCCAAATCTGAACCGATCTCGATAAAATTTAGCAAAGGTATTTCTGAGCTGCATGTGATATATTTCCCCAAATATTGTTGTTACAGAGTGCATATTACGGCTGCGGAAGACAAAAATAACAAATCGGATGCACAATATATATGGGAGCTATAGCTATATCTGAGCCGTTTCGATCAAATTTGGCATACTTATTTTCAGGCCTAATTTGGTTGTATGTGCAAAATTCCATACTATTCGGGCTGATATTACACGTTTGGTGCACAATAAAAGCAAATCGGACGAAGATATATATGGGAGCTATATCTAAATTTTTACAGATTATCTCCAATTTCAATAGGGTTTGTCCTTGGGCCAAACAAATGTTGTTTGCAAAATTTCATCTCAATCGGATAATAAAATAATAATAAATGGACGGACGGACGGACAGACGGACTGACTGCATAAATCAACTCAGAAAGTGATTCTATGCAGATCATAAAAAAGAACTATGGGTCTATCTCGTTTCCTTCTGCCTGTTACAAACAAATGCACAAAGACATAATACCCTGACCACCTTGTGGTGTAGGGTATAAAAATAATTACGGGAAAAATCTAGCAGATTATGAAGGTAGAGCTAAAGACAAGATACGTTTATCGCGGTTATGAAAAGGTAACTTTTTCACACTTTTGTAAAATTTCGGATTAAGATTCCAATCCGTCCATTTTAAGTATATAGTGTCTTCGGCAATATTGCAGAGAAATATGTAAGGGATATTTCGGTTAACAATTTTAACCTTCAGGCGAGTCAACAAAGAGATCTTTTTGGTCCTTTTTTAAATATGGTTAAGAACTCCCTTAAAAGGTGATTGTGGTAAGATAAAATATTCAAGAATATCATTTGTTATAAAATTCTGTAATAGGTCCTGAAAAACATATGGAGGCTACATCTGACCTAAATTCCAGGAATTCTTATATTTTTATACCCTACCCCACATAGTGGTAAGGGTATTATGTCTTTGTGCATTTGTTTGTAACATGGAGAAGAAAACGAGATAGACCCATATTTCCTTTTGGTGATCAGCATAGAATCAAATTTTGAGTCGATTTATGCATGTCCGTCCGTCCGTCCGTCTGTCCATGTATTTTTGTAAACAAAATACATGTCGCATTTATTATTCGATTGAGATAAAATTCACAAAATGCAGGTCGCATTTATTATTGAGATGAAATTCTCTAAATAACATTTGTTTGGCTCAAGGACAAACCCTATTGAAATTGGTGAAAATCGGTCCAAGTTTAGATATAGCTCCCATATATATCTTCATTCGATTTTAGGTTTCTTGTGCACCAAATGGCTAATATCAGTCCAATGGTGTGGATTTTGCTACATCCGACCGAATTCAGCATACAATCATGTGCTGAAAATCAAAAACTGAGAATCGGTTCAGATATAGCTTTAGCTCCCAAATATATGTTTCATCCGATTTGGTGTTTAAGTCCCTCACATTCGTAATATGTACTCCACGAGACTGATATTTTGCACCAGATATCAGATGCAGCCTAGCAATTCATGATTCAAATTTTATAAAATTTTATAAGTCGACAAAGAAAATTAATTTTAGTTTCCAGCCGCTTTTCAAAAAAAATAGTTGAATCAATGTTCCAAAAAAAAAAAAAGAATTATTCATTTTTTTTGGATCGAATTTTCTTTGGACTTTTTTCGAGTTGTCGCCTGAAATTAACATAAAATTCCTTTTTAGGTACTAAAAGTCTTAGTTTTTGATTTTTATACCCTACACCACAGGGTTGTCTGGGTATTATGTCTTTGTGCATTTCTTTGTAACATGGAGAAGGAGGCGAGATAGACCCATGCTAAAGGTCATATTTATTGCCCGATTCAGATGAAATTTTGCACAAATAATGTGTTTGACCAAAGGACGAACCCTAATGAAATTGGAGATAATCGGTGAAAATTTAGATATAGTTCCCATATATATATCTTCGTCCGATTTGCCCTGTATTGTGCACCAAACGTGTAGTATGGAATTTTACACATACAACCAAATTAGAACTGAAAATAAATATGTCATTTTTTTTTCGAAATCGGCTCTGATATAGCTATAGCTCCCATATCTCATCTCATTCTTCATCCGTTGTGTTATTTTTGTGCTCCTCGGCCGTAATATGTACTCTATAACAACTATATTTGGGGAAATATATCAAATACAGATCAAAAAAAAGCTTCGTTAAATTTTATCGAGATCGGTTCAGATTTGGATATAGCTCCCATATATATGTTTATCATATATATCTTCGTCCGATTTACGTTTTATTGTGCACCAACCGTGTAATATCAGTGCCAATGAAATCGTCACAAACTGCCCGAATGTTACTCTGAGATATTTTGGCCCATTCCTGGCGAAGGGCTTGCTTGAGGTGATCGACATTTTGGTATTTTTTAGTGTCAACATTGCTTTTCAAAATATTCCGAACACAATAGTCCAACGGATTGGTATCCGGAGATTTTAGTGGCCATTGTGAGCTGGAAATGAAGCGAGAAATCTCATTTTGTAATCATTCTTGGGTGGCGCGTGCTGAATGCGATGGTGCTGAGTCCTGTTGGAATGTCCAAGGTCTGCGGCCAAAATGTTTGGGTGCCCAAGGCTTTAACACACCCTCCAGAAATATTCCCAATAGCATTTGGCTTTTATTCCGATGCCACGGTCGATTAATACGTGCGGAGAGCGATTATCGGCTGTTAAGGCTGCCCACACCATCACCATGGCCGGCGCTTGAGTTCTGGTGGCTAACCGAAGGTGCACATTTTCAGCTGACATTTTTGGCAAGTGAACACGATCGTTTTGGTCTCTTTAGCTCTTTTGAGTCGATTTTCTTTCTGTTGCGGTGTAAGTTCTTGCCCTTTTTGGAATTTCAATGGTTTTACCCCAAGCTCATTTTTCAATATTTGACGAATGGAATATTGCGATATGTTCAGCTCACGAGCCATTTTTCGGCCACTGCGACGCGGGTCTCGATCAAATCGTTTCTTTACTTTTCGAACCATTTCTGCTGATGTTCCTGTTTTCTTCCGTCCACTTCCTTGATGTAGGGCTACGCTACCAGTATCACGGTAACGAGCAATGTACGAGACATAAAAGATTGATTCACATTTAAATGCTGGAGTGCTCCAACGATAGCCACTTCTGGTTTTCCAGCCAAATTTAAAGAAATCACACTATTTCGCTTGAATTCCATCACGAATAACCTGTTTTCTGGAAAATTCTCACCAAAATGCTTTTGTACGCTTGTAAAAAATATAATGAGCTGTCACTGGAATAATTATAACAGCTGTCGGACGAATGGCTTAGAAATGACAGCAGTCTGAAGTTGGTTACAGTTTTTTCATCTCACCCTGTATGGCCTTCAGGTCGATGTTTGGTTCCCTACACTGAGTATCAAATTCACAACCTTCTTTTTTCTGGCAGATCACACACTCTATCTACCGCTGTTACTAATTACTTGATAATAAGAAAAATAAGGTTCTTTTATTTCTAATTTTTCAAGAAATCGACAACTATTCCATTTTTTTTTAAATATTTTATGGTATAGAAGGGCTTTCTAAGGTCTTCTTTGGAGTAGAAGAGCTTTAAGAGGTCTTCTATTGAATGGAAGAGATTTTAGGGATCTTCTGTAGAATAGATGAGCTTGTAAAGTCCCTCTATAGAATAGAAGAGCTTGTAAAGACTTTCTATGGCTCATAAGAGCTCTTAAAGATCTTCTATGGAAAAGAAGATCTTTTAAATGTGTCCTGAAGAATAGAAGAAATTTTAAAGCTCTTCTACTCCAAAGAAGTCCTTAAAAAGCCCTTCTATACCAGAAAATATATAAAATAAGTTTTTTATGGATTGGAATAGTTGGTTAATTCTTGAAAAATTAGAAATAGAAGAACCTTAATTTTTCTTCTTTAAATAAATATTAAATATCAAAGCTTATAAATACTTCAATAGACCTTCTAAAAGTCTTCTATGGAATATCAAAGCTTTCAGTGGTCTTCTATAAATTAACAGAGCTTTAAAAACAGAAGTAAACTATAAAAGCTTTCAGTATATATATTTTTTTAATTTTTTATTTTGATATTTCGATATTTAATATATTTTTATTTTATATTTTAATTAAAATTTATTGAATTTCATTATCGGATCGTAGGGGTAAGGGGTTGTGTTCGGCTTTTACTGGTTATTTTTACAAGGTTCACTATTGAAGACATTGCCCTCAGCATAAATGGCATAGTTGTTGTCGACATTATTCCTGTATGAAATGACGGTGCCAGATGGTACAGGTGATGCCAACAGTGAAGCTGGGAAGGAATTCAATGATCCACCGCCTGGGACATTCTTTTCTTCTGCAGGGGTTTCATTGAATTCATTTAATGCGGCAAAAGAAAAAATTGGAGGTGTTGAACTCTCACTTTCTGGAGTTGTAGTTTCTGAGTTTTCGTCAGTTGTGGTCTCGGGGGTTGAAGGTTCTAGTGTTGTGGTTTCGGGCGTTGAGGCTTCTGTAGTTGTTGATTCGGCCGTTGTCTCTTCTGGTGTTGTGGATTCAGAGGTTGTGGACTCTGTGGCTTCTGTAGTTGTGGTTTCTGTAGTTGTGGGTTCTGGAGTTGTGGACTCCGGTGTTGTGGGCTCAGGAGTTGTGGGCTCAGGAGTTGTTACCTCAGCAGCTGTGGTTGGTGTTGTTCTCGTAGAGCTGGGTACATAAGGGACGGCTGTTGTGCTGCTCCCCACCGAACAAGGACCATTCGATATTTTGACCCAAGCTATTGGAAAAATTTAAATTAATCGAAATATTCTTTTAAAATCCCCTCATTCTCCAACACTTACTTATTCCAGTTCTTTGAATTTCCTCGGCCAAGGCGCAGGGACTACTGAATGTTTTAGTTGTTACCAAATTTGTGGCACACACCGGATCATAGACGGTCGAGCAGGGATTGTGGGTGGGTGGACAGGGTCCATTGCAATGGAATGTGAAGCTATAACCATTTTTGACGGTATCCAAGAATTCCTGCAAACTTGAAAATGTCTTATAGAACCCGTTTAAAACACCGCATACCGGCTGTGGCCTTGGGAATGGAAATGGCGAGGGTCGGTATGGTGTATGGGGATAACTGAGTGGAAAACTAAATGGCTGAGCCTTGGCCAATGCCACCAAGCAAATTGCTACCAGGATGTAAATGACCTTCATGATTTGCTTTGTTGTTCTTGTTAAATGTAACTGTGCCCTTTTGCAGAATTTGAGGCGTTATTTATTTGCTTTAGCTGAAGCAGGTATTCCCTACACACATTTCCAATACGACTTGATTGTGGTGTCAAATTCCATGGCTACTCTTCAATTGAGCCAATTTCACGTACTAAGGCCTTTGTAATGCGTTTGGCAAATTATGGTGTTCCGCATTGGATTATCAGTCTTCTTTGTTTTTGTAATTGAAAGCCAGCAAAACGTGAGTTTTTTTGTTGTTGCGAAATTTTATACTTATGTTTGTAGAGGCCGTGTTGTAATTGGGCATATGCCCAGCTTAAATGACAGAAACAGAACAACGTGTCAAATTTGAATATTTTACGTCGCAAGCCTTTTCGACTAGGGCCAAAGTATATTGGCCATGAGAATATATGTTGTAATAATAAAATTCAGAAGTCCCTTGGCTGATCCAGAGAAAGCCTTTGAGAGGTCTACAGCAAAACTTTTCTAGAATACGAATTCTTTAAAGGAAAGGGCCTAATAGATGGCGGCTTGTGGATCATATCTAAAATCGGACACCTTTTAGTAATGTTCTCTACAATACAATATCGTTCAAAGGTGTTATGTATTGAGCAAAGCCTCATAAAAGCTTCCTCTGTAAAAGTATTAATTATTTTTTTTTAAATCAAGAAACAGAATATTTTATAAAAATGGCATTCAAATAGCTTCACTACAAAATAAAAGAGCCTTATATTTTCTTCTACAGAATAGCTCTTTAATCTATATTATAATATATAAAAAAGCTTTACAAGAGTAACTTTGCAAAACTCTATTAAAATATAGAAAAGCCTTACAAACAAGGAATTTCTATTCTTATCTATACAATAGCTTATAAAAATATTGTAATCTACAGAGGAACTTTGAAAGCTTATATTTTCTCTAGAAGAGCGTGAAAAGCTCTTCTATTCTATAGAAGAGCGTTAAAAGCTCTTCTCTTCTATAGAATAGCGTTAAAAGCTCTTCTCTTCTATAGAATAGCATTAAAAGCTCTTATCTTCTATAGAAGAGCTTGCAAAGCTCTTCTCTTGTAAAGAAGAGCGTAAATTGCTCTTCTTTTTCATAAAAGAGCTTGCAAAGCTCTCCTCATTTTTATAGAAGATCGTGAAAAACTCTTCTCTTTTATAGAAGAGCATGAAAAGCTCTTCTCATTTATAGAAGAACTTGTAAAGCTTCTCTTTTTTATGAATGAACTTGTAAAGCTTTTTTTTTTTCTATAGAAGAGCTTGTAAACCTCTTCTCTTCTACAGAAAAGTTTTGAAAGCACTTCTTTTATTTAGAAGAGCTTGTAAAGCAGATTTCTTGTATAGAAGAGCTTGTAAATCTCTTCTCTTCTATAACAGAGCTTCTAAAGCTCTTCTCTTCTATAGAAGAGCTTGTACGGCTCCAAAAGAGCTTTTTAAAATCTTCCCTTGTCTTGTAAAGTTCTTATCTTCTATAGAAGACCTTGTTAAGCTCTTCTCTTCTATAGAAGAGCTTTTAAAACTCTTCTCTTCTATAAAAGAGCTTTTAAAGAAGAGCTTGTAATTATCTTCTTTTCTACAGAAGAGGTTTGAAAGCTCTTATTTTCTTTAGAAGAGCTTGTAAAGCTCTTTTCTTCTATAGAAGAGCTTGTAAGGCTCTTCTATAGAAAAGAAGAGCCTGTGAGGCTCTTCTATAGAAAAGAAGAGCTTGAAAGGCTCTTATCTTCTATAGAAGAATTTGTAAAGACACTCTTGCTATGGAAGAGCTTCTGAAGCTCATATTTTTATGGAAACTCTGCTTTTCTATAGAAGAGTTTGTTAGATCTAATTTCCAACTTGTAAAGCTTTATAGAAGAGCTTGTAAATCTCCATCTATAGGCCTAATTCAGAAATTATTAGAATTGCTCGTAAAACTCTTGTGTGGAATAGAAGAACTGTCAAAGATCTTCTATGGAATAGAGAAGCTTTCATTCTTCTATAAAGTTATAGAGCTTTTATATGTCATATTTTGATGAGAAAAGTTTTCAGGGATTTCCTATGTAACAGAGGAACTTTTAAATATCGTTTATAAAACAGAAGTGCATACAAAGTTCTGTTATGGCAAAGAGGAGCTTTCAAAGCTATTCAATGTAGTTGTAATAGCTTACAAGTGTCTTGTATAGATACGCTTTTAAAAAACTTACCTGGAACAGAGAAACTTTATTGGACTCCTATAGAATATAGAATCTTAAATGGTATCCTATAGCAGCTTTCAATGGTCTTCTATAAAATTGAGTTCACAGTCTTTTCAAATTAAAAAAAAAACACAATTTTTAATTTTCGAATATTTTTTTTCTTATAAATTTATTGTAAACCTAAATTTATTGTCGCTTTCTTGAATGCCTACTTTTAAAAAGCTCAAAGAGCTTGGACAAATTCGATGCATGGGGTTTTCGTTTGGCACTATCGGTGGCTGCTCTCGCAGACGCTATCACAATATGGTTGTTGACATCTCCTTCGATGTAGGACCCGTATTTATTGCCTACATTATGTCTAAACGCTACCCGGGGAGAGGGCGTAAGTTTGGACAGCAGTTGCTGGATGGGATAAGGATAAGAAAGTAAACTAGCTGGCGTAGTGGTGCTAGGTTTCGGCGAAGCCGTATCTGGGGGGCAATACGGTCTTGGCGTTGTTGTGTGGATACAGGGCGGCTGCGGAACACCTGTGGACACACTCACTGGAGCTGTGGCTGTTTGTGCACCGGAACCTGACTCAAAGTCAGAGTCGGTCATTGCTGTTGTTGTTTCCGGTGCAATTGTGGGCAAAATGACATTAAAACCAAATGACATCAGCGGAGCAAGAGAGACTGGGAAGAACATTGTTCCTGTTTCAGAAGCTACACCCGAATCGGTCGGAAGATCGGGCTCCGTTGTTGAAAAACTGGAGCGAGTAGTTTCAAAATCACTTGTTGAGTCCTTAGGAGGTGTTGTCACCGACTCGGAAACTGAAGCCGGTGTTGTCAGCTCAGTAGAGCGATCTTCTATTGAAGTAAAGAGAGAACATTAGAGTAGCTTTATATATGGAAAACATTTCTTTGACTACCTGAAGTCGTTGTTTCCGACTCCAAAGAACCATAAGTTTGTGTGGTCTCAAAGCCAGGGCCTGGAGTGGTATCAGAACCATCACTTGGTGTGTTATCAGAACCATCAGTTGGTGTAGTTTCAGAGCCAGGGCCTGGAGTGGTATTAGAACCGTCACTTGGTGTGGTGTCAGATCCATCAGTTGGCGTAGTTTCAGAGTCAGGGCCAGGAGTGGTATCAGAGCCATCAGCTGGTGTAGTTTCAGAGCCAGGGCCTGGAGTGGTATCAGAACCGTCACTTGGTGTGGTGCAAGAGCCATCAGTTGGTGTAGTTTCAGAGCCAGGGCTTGGTGTGGTGTCGGAACCATCAGTTGGTGTGGTCTCAGCGCCATTCGTTGGTGTAGTTTCAGAACCAGGGCCTGGAGTGGTGTCAGAACCATCAGTTGGTGTAGTTTCAAAGCCTTCAGTTGGTGTGGTTTCAGAGCCAGGGCTTGTTGTGGTATCAGAACCATCACTTGGTGTGGTGTCAGAGCCCTCGGTTGGTGTAGTTTCAGAGCCAGGGCTTGGTGTGGTATTAGAACCATCACTTGGTGTAGTTTCAGAGCCATCAGTTGGTGTAGTTGCAGAGCCAGGGCCAGGAGTGGTATCAGAACCATCACTTGGTGTGGTGTCAGAGCCATCAGTTGGTGTAGTTTCAGAGCCAGGGCCAGGAGTGGTATCAGAACCATCACTTGGTGTGGTGTCAGAGCCATCAGTTGGTGTAGTTTCAGAGCCAGGGCTTGGTGTGGTGTCAGAGCCATCAGTTGGCGTAGTTTCAGAGCCAGGGCTAGGAGTGGTATCAGAACCATCACTTGGTGTGGTGTCAGAGCCATCACTTGGTGTAGTTGCAGAGCCAGCGCCTGGAGTGGTATTAGAATCGTCACTTGGTGTGGTGTCAGATCCCTCAGTTGGCGTAGTTGCAGAGCCAGGGCCAGGAGTGGTATCAGAACCATCACTTGGAGTGGTGTCAGAGCCCTCGGTTGGTGTAGTTTCAGAGCCAGGGCTTGGTGTGGTATTAGAACCATCACTTGGTGTAGTTTCAGAGCCATCAGTTGGTGTAGTTGCAGAGCCAGGGCCAGGAGTGGTATCAGAACCATCACTTGGTGTGGTGTCAGAGCCATCAGTTGGTGTAGTTTCAGAGCCAGGGCTTGGTGTGGTGTCAGAGCCATCAGTTGGCGTAATTTCAGAGCCAGGGCTAGGAGTGGTATCAGAACCATCACTTGGTGTGGTGTCAGAGCCATCACTTGGTGTAGTTGCAGAGCCAGCGCCTGGAGTGGTATCAGAACCGTCACTTGGTGTGGTGTCAGAGCCCTCAGTTGGTGTAGTTTCAGAGCCAGGGCCTGGAGTGGTATCAGAACCATCACTTGGTGTGGTGTCAGAGCCCTCATTTGGTGTAGTTTCAGAGCCAGGGCCTGGAGTGGTATCAGAACCGTCACTTGGTGTGGTCTCAGAGCCCTCAGTTGGTGTAGTTTCAGAGCCAGGGCTTGGTGTGGTGTCAGAGCCATCAGTTGGCGTAGTTTCAGAGCCAGGGCTAGGAGTGGTATCAGAACCATCACTTGGTGTGGTGTCAGAGCCATCAGTTGGTGTAGTTTCAGAGCCAGGGCCAGGAGTGGTATCAGAACCATCACTTGGTGTGGTGTCAGAGCCATCAGTTGGTGTAGTTTCAGAGCCAGGGCTTGGTGTGGTGTCAGAGCCATCAGTTGGCGTAGTTTCAGAGCCAGGGCTAGGAGTGGTATCAGAACCATCACTTGGTGTGGTGTCAGAGCCATCACTTGGTGTAGTTGCAGAGCCAGCGCCTGGAGTGGTATTAGAATCGTCACTTGGTGTGGTGTCAGATCCCTCAGTTGGCGTAGTTGCAGAGCCAGGGCCAGGAGTGGTATCAGAACCATCACTTGGAGTGGTGTCAGAGCCCTCGGTTGGTGTAGTTTCAGAGCCAGGGCTTGGTGTGGTATTAGAACCATCACTTGGTGTAGTTTCAGAGCCATCAGTTGGTGTAGTTGCAGAGCCAGGGCCAGGAGTGGTATCAGAACCATCACTTGGTGTGGTGTCAGAGACATCAGTTGGTGTAGTTTCAGAGCCAGGGCTTGGTGTGGCGTCAGAGCCATCAGTTGGCGTAGTTTCAGAGCCAGGGCTAGGAGTGGTATCAGAACCATCACTTGGTGTGGTGTCAGAGCCATCACTTGGTGTAGTTGCAGAGCCAGCGCCTGGAGTGGTATTAGAATCGTCACTTGGTGTGGTGTCAGAGCCCTCAGTTGGTGTAGTTTCAGAGCCAGGGCCTGGAGTGGTATCAGAACCATCACTTGGTGTGGTGTCAGAGCCCTCAGTTGGTGTAGTTTCAGAGCCAGGGCCTGGAGTGGTATCAGAACCGTCACTTGGTGTGGTCTCAGAGCCCTCAGTTGGTGTAGTTTCAGAGCCAGGGCCTGGAGTGGTATCAGAACCGTCACTTGGTGTGGTGTCAGAGCCCTCAGTTGGTGTAGTTTCAGAGCCAGGGCCTGGAGTGGTATCAGAACCATTACTTGGTGTGGTGTCAGAGCCCTCAGTTGGTGTAGTTTCAGAGCCAGGGCCTGGAGTGGTATCAGAACCGTCACTTGGTGTGGTCTCAGAGCCCTCAGTTGGTGTAGTTTCAGAGCCAGGGCCTGGAGTGGAATCAGAACCATCACTTGGTGTGGTGTCAGAACCATCAGTTGGTGTAGTTTCAAAGCCTTCAGTTGGTGTGGTTTCAGAGCCAGGGCTTGGTGTGGTATCAGAACCATCACTTGGTGTGGTGTCAGAGCCCTCGGTTGGTGTAGTTTCAGAGCCAGGGCTTGGTGTGGTATTAGAACCATCACTTGGTGTAGTTTTAGAGCCATCAGTTGGTGTAGTTGCAGAGCCAGGGCCAGGTGTGGTATCAGAACCATCACTTGGTGTGGTGTCAGAGCTATCAGTTGGTGTAGTTTCAGAGCCAGGGCTTGGTGTGGTGTCAGAGCCATCACTTGGTGTAGTTGCAGAGCCAGCGCCTGGAGTGGTGTCAGAATCGTCACTTGGTGTGGTGTCAGATCCCTCAGTTGGCGTAGTTGCAGAGCCAGGGCCAGGAGTGGTATCAGAACCATCACTTGGTGTGGTGTCAGAGCCATCACTTGGTGTAGTTGCAGAGCCAGCGCCTGGAGTGGTATCAGAATCGTCAGTTGGTGTGGTGTCAGATCCCTCAGTTGGTGTAGTTTCAGAGCCAGGGCCTGGAGTGGTATCAGAACCATCACTTGGTGAGGTTTCAGAGCTCTCAGTTGCTGTAGTTTCAGAGCCGGGATCTGGAGTGGTATCAGAACCATCACTTGGTGTGGTGTCAGAGCCCTCAGTTGGTGTAGTTTCAGAGCCAGGGCCTGGAGTGGTATCAGAACCATCACTTGGTGAGGTTTCAGAGCTCTCAGTTGCTGTAGTTTCAGAGCCAGGATCTGGAGTGGTATCAGAACCATCACTTGGTGTGGTGTCAGAGCCATCAGTTGGAGTAGTTTCAGAGCCAGGGCCTGGAGTGGTATCAGAACCATCACTTGGTGAGGTTTCAGAGCTCTCAGTTGCTGTAGTTTCAGAGCCAGGATCTGGAGTGGTATCAGAACCATCACTTGGTGTGGTGTCAGAGCCCTCAGTTGGTGTAGTTTCAGAGCCAGGGCCTGGAGGGGTACCAGAACCATCACTTGGTGTGGTGTCAGAGCCCTTAGTTGGCGTAGGGCTTGGTGTGGTATAAGAACCATCAGTTGGTGTAGTTTCAGAGCCATCAGTTGGTGTAGTTTCAGAGCCCGGGCTTGGTGTGGTATCAGAACCATCACTTGGTGTTGTCTCAGAGCCATCAGTTGGCGTAGTTTCAGAGCCAGGGCTTGGTGTGATATCAGAACCATCACTTGGTGTAGTTTCAGAGCCCGGGCTTGGTGTGGTATCAGAACCATCACTTGGTGTTGTCTCAGAGCCATCAGTTGGCGTAGTTTCAGAGCCAGGGCTTGGTGTGGTATCAGAACCATCAGTTTGTGTAGTTTCAGAGCCAGGGCCTGGAATGGTATCAGAACCATCACTTGGTGTGGTGTCAGAGCCATCACTTGGTGTAGTTGCAGAGCCAGCGCCGGGAGTGGTATCAGAATCGTCACTTGGTGTGGTGTCAGATCCCTCAGTTGGTGTAGTTTCAGAGCCAGGGCCTGGAGTGGTATCAGAACCGTCACCTGGTGTGGTGTCAGAGCCCTCAGTTGGCGTAGTTTCAGAGCCAGGGCCTGGGGTGGTATCAGAACCATCACTTGGTGTGGTGTCAGAGTCCTCAGTTGGCGTAGTTTCAGAGCCAGGGCCTGGAGTGGTATCAGAATCATCACTTGGTGTAGTTTCAGAGCCAGGGCCAGGGCTTGGTGTGGTATCAGAACCATCAGTTGGTGTAGTTTCAGAGCCAGGGCCTGGAGTGGTATCAGAACCATCACTTGGCGTAGTTTCAGAGCCAGGGCCTGGAGTGGTATCAGAATCATCACTTGGTGTTGTCTCAGATCCATCAGTTGGTGTAGTTTCAGAGCCAGGGCCTGGAGTGGTATCAGAACCGTCACCTGGCGTGGTGTCGGAGCCATCAGTTGGTGTAGTTTCAGAGCCATCAGTTGGCGTAGTTTCAGAGCCAGGGCTTGGTGTGGTATCAGAACCATCAGTTGGTGTAGTTTCAGAGCCAGGGCCTGGAGTGGTATCAGAACCGTCACCTGGTGTGGTGTCAGAGCCCTCAGTTGGCGTAGTTGCAGAGCCAGGGCCAGGGCCAGGAGTGGTATCAGAACCATCACTTGGTGTTGTCTCAGAGCCATCAGTTGGTGTAGTTTCAGAGCCAGGGCCTGGAGTGGTATCAGAACCGTCACCTGGTGTGGTGTCAGAGCCCTCATTTGGCGTAGTTGCAGAGCCAGGGCCAGGGCCAGGAGTGGTATCAGAACCATCACTTGGTGTTGTCTCAGAGCCATCAGTTGGTGTAGTTTCAGAGCCAGGGCCTGGAGTGTTATCAGAACCATCAGTTGGTGTGGTGTAAGAGCCATCAGTTGGTGTAGTTTCAGAGACCTCAGTTGGCGTAGTTTCAGTGCCAGGGCTTGGTGTGGTATCAGAACCATCAGTTGGTGTAGTTTCAGAGCCAGGGCCTGGAGTGGTATCAGAACCATCACTTGGTGTGCTGTCAGAGCCCTCAGTTGGCGTAGTTTCAGAGCCACGGCTTGGTGTGGTATCAGAACCATCAGTTGGTGTAGTTTCAGAGCCAGGGCCTGGAGTGGTATCAGAACCGTCACTTGGTGTGGTGTCAGAGCTCTCAATTGGCGTAGTTTCAGAGCCAGGGCTTGGTGTGGTATCAGAACCATCAGTTGGTGTAGTTTCAGAACCAGGGCCTGGAGTGGTATCAGAACCATCACTTGGTGTGGTGTCAGAGTCCTCAGTTGGCGTAGTTTCAGAGCCAGGGCCTGGAGTGGTATCAGAACCATCACTTGGTGTTGTCTCAGAGCCATCAGTTGATGTAGTTTCAGAGCCAGGGCTTGGTGTGATGTCAGAGTCCTCAGTTGGCGTAGTTTCAGAGCCAGGGCCTGGAGTGGTATCAGAACCATCACTTGGTGTGGTATCAGAACCATCAGTTGGTGTAGTTTCAGAACCAGGGCCTGGAGTGGTATCAGAACCATCACTTGGTGTGGTGTCAGAGTCCTCAGTTGGAGTAGTTGCAGAGCCAGGGCCAGGAGTGGTATCAGAACCACCACTTGGTGTGGGGTCAGAGCCATCAGTTGGTGTAGTTTCAGTGCCAGGGCTTGGTGTGGTATCAGAACCATCAGTTGGTGTAGTTTCAGAGCCAGGGCCAGGAGTGGTATCAGAACCATCACTAGGTGTGGTAGCAGAACCATCAGTTGGTGTAGTTTCAGAGCCAGGACTTGGAGTGGTATCAGAACCGTCACTTGGTGAGGTGTCAGAGCCCTCAGTTGGCGTAGTTTCAGAGCCAGGGCCTGGAGTGGTATCAGAACCATCACTTGGTGTGGTCGCAGAACCATCACTTGGCGAAGTTTCAGAGCCAGGGCCTGGAGTGGTATCAGAACCATCACTTGGTGTAGTTTCAGAGCCAGGGCCTGGAGTGGTATCAGAACCGTCACCTGGCGTGGTGTCAGAGCCCTCAGTTGGAGTAGTTGCAGAGCCAGGGCCAGGAGTGGTATCAGAACCATCACTTGGTGTGGTATCAGAGCCATCAGTTGGTGTAGTTTCAGTGCCAGGGCTTGGTGTGGTATCAGAACCATCAGTTGGTGTAGTTTCAGAGCCAGGGCCAGGAGTGGTATCAGAACCATCACTAGGTGTGGTAGCAGAACCATCAGTTGGTGTAGTTTCAGAGCCAGGACCTGGAGTGGTATCAGAACCGTCACTTGGTGTGGTGTCAGAGCCCTCAGTTGGCGTAGTTTCAGAGCCAGGGCCTGGAGTGGTATCAGAACCATCACTTGGTGTGGTCTCAGAACCATCACTTGGCGAAGTTTCAGAGCCAGGGCCTGGAGTGGTATCAGAACCATCACTTGGTGTAGTTTCAGAGCCAGGGCCTGGAGTGGTATCAGAACCATCAGTTGGTGTGGTGTCAGAGCCCTCAGTTGGAGTAGTTGCAGAGCCAGGGCCAGGAGTGGTATCAGAACCATCACTTGGTGTGGTATCAGAGCCATCAGTTGGTGTAGTTTCAGTGCCAGGGCTTGGTGTGGTATCAGAACCATCAGTTGGTGTAGTTTCAGAGCCAGGGCCAGGAGTGGTATCAGAACCATCACTAGGTGTGGTAGCAGAACCATCAGTTGGTGTAGTTTCAGAGCCAGGACCTGGAGTGGTATCAGAACCGTCACTTGGTGTTGTGTCAGAGCCATCACTTGATGTAGTTTCAGAGCCAGGGCTTGGTGTGGTATCGGAACCATCACTTGGTGTGGTCTCAGAACCATCACTTGGCGTAGTTTCAGAGCCAGGGCTTGGTGTGGTATCAGAACCATCACTTGGTGTAGTTTCAGAGCCAGGGCCTGGAGTGGTATCAGAACCGTCACCTGGCGTGGTGTCAGAGCCCTCAGTTGGAGTAGTTGCAGAGCCAGGGCCAGGAGTGGTATCAGAACCATCACTTGGTGTGGTATCAGAGCCATCAGTTGGTGTTGTTTCAGTGCCAGGGCTTGGTGTGGTATCAGAACCATCAGTTGGTGTAGTTTCAGAGCCAGGGCCAGGAGTGGTATCAGAACCATCACTAGGTGTGGTAGCAGAACCATCAGTTGGTGTAGTTTCAGAGCCAGGACCTGGAGTGGTATCAGAACCGTCACTTGGTGTGGTGTCAGAGCCCTCAGTTGGCGTAGTTTCAGAGCCAGGGCCTGGAGTGGTATCAGAACCATCTCTTGGTGTGGTCTCAGAACCATCACTTGGCGAAGTTTCAGAGCCAGGGCCTGGAGTGGTATCAGAACCATCACTTGGTGTAGTTTCAGAGCCAGGGCCTGGAGTGGTATCAGAACCGTCACCTGGCGTGGTGTCAGAGCCCTCAGTTGGAGTAGTTGCAGAGCCAGGGCCAGGAGTGGTATCAGAACCATCACTTGGTGTGGTATCAGAGCCATCAGTTGGTGTAGTTTCAGTGCCAGGGCTTGGTGTGGTATCAGAACCATCAGTTGGTGTAGTTTCAGAGCCAGGGCCAGGAGTGGTATCAGAACCATCACTAGGTGTGGTAGCAGAACCATCAGTTGGTGTAGTTTCAGAGCCAGGACCTTGAGTGGTATCAGAACCGTCACTTGGTGTGGTGTCAGAGCCCTCAGTCGACGTAGTTTCAGAGCCAGGGCCTGGAGTGGTATCAGAACCATCACTTGGTGTGGTCTCAGAACTATCACTTGGCGTAGTTTCAGAGCCAGGGCTTGGTGTGGTATCAGAACCATCAGTTGGTGTAGTTTCAGAGCCAGGGCCTGGAGTGGTATCAGAACCGTCACTTGGTGTTGTCTCAGAGCCATCAGTTGGCGTAGTTTCAGAGCCAGGGATTGGTGTGGTATCAGAACCATCAGTTAGTGTGGTGTCAGAGCCCTCACTTGGCGTAGTTTCAGAGCCAGGGCCTGGAGTGGTATCGGAACCATCACTTGGCGTAGTTTCAGAGCCAGGGCTTGGTGTGGTATCAGAACCATCAGTTGGCGTAGTTTCAGAGCCAGGGCCTGGAGTGGTATCAGAACCATCACCTGGTGTGGTCTCAGAACCATCACTTGGTGTAGTTTCAGAGCCAGGGCCTGGAGTGGTATCAGAACCGTCACCTGGTGTGGTGTCAGAGCCCTCAGTTGGAGTAGTTGCAGAGCCAGGGCCAGGAGTGGTATCAGAACCATCACTAGGTGTGGTAGCAGAACCATCAGTTGGTGTAGTTTCAGAGCCAGGACCTGGAGTGGTATCAGAACCGTCACTTGGTGTTGTGTCAGAGCCATCAGTTGATGTAGTTTCAGAGCCAAGGCTTGGTGTGGTATCGGAACCATCACTTGGTGTGGTGTCAGAGTCCTCAGTTGGCGTAGTTTCAGAGCCAGGGCCTGGAGTGGTATCGGAACCATCACTTGGTGTAGTTTCAGAGTCAGGGCCTGGAGTGGTATCAGAACCGTCACCTGGTGTGGTGTCAGAGCCCTCAGTTGGTGTAGTTGCAGAGCCAGGGCCAGTAGTGGTATCAGAACCATCACTTGGTGTGGTGTTAGAGCCATCAGTTGGTGTAGTTTCAGTGCCAGGGCTTGGTGTGGTATCAGAACCATCACTAGGTGTGGTAGCAGAACCATCACTTGGCGTAGTTTCAGAGCCAGGTCCTGGAGTGGTATCAGAACCATCAGTTGCTGTAGTTTCAGAGCCAGGATCTGGAGTGGTATCAGAACCATCACTTGGTGTGGTGTCAGAGCCATCAGTTGGAGTAGTTTCAGAGCCAGGGCCTGGAGTGGTATCAGAACCATCACTTGGTGAGGTTTCAGAGCTCTCAGTTGCTGTAGTTTCAGAGCCAGGATCTGGAGTGGTATCAGAACCATCACTTGGTGTGGTGTCAGAGCCCTCAGTTGGTGTAGTTTCAGAGCCAGGGCCTGGAGGGGTACCAGAACCGTCACTTGGTGTTGTGTCAGAGCCATCAGTTGGTGTAGTTTCAGAGCCAGGGCCTGGAGTAGTATCGGAACCATCACTTGGTGTGGTGTCAGAGCCCTCAGTTGGAGTAGTTGCAGAGCCAGGGCCAGGAGTGGTATCAGAACCATTACTTGGTGTGGTGTCAGAGCCATCAGTTGGTGTAGTTTCAGTGCCAGGGCTTGTTGTGGCATCAGAACCATCAGTTGGAGTAGTTTCAGAGCCAGGGCCAGGAGTGGTATCAGAACCATCACTTGGTGTGGTGTCAGAGCCATCAGTTGGTGTAGTTTCAGTGCCAGGGCTTGTTGTGGCATCAGAACCATCAGTTGGTGTAGTTTCAGAGCCAGGGTCAGGAGTGGTATCAGAACCATCACTTGGTGTGGTATCAGAGCCATCAGTTGGTGTAGTTTCAGAGCCAGGGCTTGGTGTGGTATCAGAACCATCAGTTGGTGTAGTTTCAGAGCCAGGACCTGGAGTGGTATCAGAACCGTCACTTGGTGTGGTGTCAGAGCCCTCAGTTGGCGTAGTTTCAGAGCCAGGGCCTGGAGTGGTATCAGAGCCAGGGCCTGGAGTGGTATCAGAACCATCACTTGGTGTAGTTTCAGAGCCAGGGCCTGGAGTGGTATCAGAACCATCACTTGGTGCTGTCCCTGAACCATCAGTTGATGTAGTTTCAGGGCCAGGGCTTGGTGTGGTATCAGAACCGTCACCTGGTGTGGTGTCAGAGCCATCAGTTGGTGTAGTTTCAGAGTCAGGGCCTGGAGTGGTATCAGAACCGTCACTAGGTGTGGTGTCAGAGCTCTCAATTGGCGTAGTTTCAGAGCCAGGGCTTGGTGTGGTATCAGAACCGTCACCTGGTGTGGTGTCAGAGCCATCAGTTGGTGTAGTTTCAGAGTCAGGGCCTGGAGTGGTACCAGAACCGTCACTAGGTGTGGTGTCAGAGCTCTCAATTGGCGTAGTTTCAGAGCCAGGGCCTGCAGTGGTATCAGAACCATCACTTGGTGTGGTCTCAGAACCATCACTTGGCGTAGTTTCAGAGCCAGGGCCTGGAGTGGTATCAGAACCATCACTTGGTGTGGTTTCAGAGCCAGGACCTGGAGTGGTATCAGAACCGTCACTTGGTGTGGTGTCAGAGTCCTCAGTTGGCGTAGTTTCAGAGCCAGGGCCTGGAGTGGTATCAGAACCATCACTTGGTGTGGTCTCAGAACCATCACTTGGCGTAGTTTCAGAGCCAGGGCCTGGAGTGGTATCAGAACCATCAGTTGGTGTGGTGTCAGAGACATCAGTTGGTGTAGTTTCAGAGCCAGGGCCTGGAGTGGTATAAGAACCATCAGTTTGTGTGGTGTCAGAGCCCTCAGTTGGCGTAGTTTTAGAGCCAGGGCTTGGTGTGGTGTCAGAACCATCAGTTGGTGTAGTTTCAGAGTCAGGGCCTGGAGTGGTATCAGAACCATCATTTGGTGTGGTGTCAGAGCCATCAGTTGGTGTAGTTTCAGAGCCAGGACCTGGAGTGGTATCGGAACCGTCACTTGGTGTTGTGTCAGAGTCCTCAGTTGGCGTAGTTTCAGAGCCAGGGCCTGGAGTGGTATCAGAATCATCACTTGGTGTAGTTTCGGAGTCAGGGCCTGGAGTGGTATCAGAACCATCACTTGGTGTTGTCTCAGAGCCATCAGTTGATGTAGTTTCAGAGCCAGGGCTTGGTGTGGTATCAGAACCGTCACCTGGTGTGGTGTCAGAGCCCTCAGTTGGAGTAGTTGCAGAGCCAGGGCCGGGAGTGGTGTCAGAGCCATCAGTTGGTGTAGTTTCAGTGCCAGGGCTTGTTGTGGCATCAGAACCATCAGTTGGTGTAGTTTCAGAGCCAGGACCTGGAGTGGTATCAGACCCGTCACTTGGTGTGGTGTCAGAGCCCTCAGTTGGCGTAGTTTCAGAGCCAGGGCCTGGAGTGGTATCAGAACCATCACTTGGTGTGGTCTCAGAACCATCAGTTGGTGTAGTTTCAGAGCCACGGTCTGGAGTGGTATCAGAACCGTCACTTGGTGTTGTGTCAGAGACATCAGTTGGTGTAGTTTCAGAGCCAGGGCCTGGAGTGGTATCGGAACCGTCACTTGGTGTTGTGTCAGAGTCCTCAGTTGGCGTAGTTTCAGAGCCAGGGCCTGGAGTGGTATCAGAATCATCACTTGGTGTAGTTTCGGAGTCAGGGCCTGGAGTGGTATCAGAACCATCACTTGGTGTTGTCTCAGAGCCATCAGTTGATGTAGTTTCAGAGCCAGGGCTTGGTGTGGTATCAGAACCGTCACCTGGTGTGGTGTCAGAGCCCTCAGTTGGAGTAGTTGCAGAGCCAGGGCCAGGAGTGGTGTCAGAGCCATCAGTTGGTGTAGTTTCAGTGCCAGGGCTTGTTGTGGCATCAGAACCATCAGTTGGTGTAGTTTCAGAGCCAGGACCTGGAGTGGTATCAGACCCGTCACTTGGTGTGGTGTCAGAGCCCTCAGTTGGCGTAGTTTCAGAGCCAGGGCCTGGAGTGGTATCAGAGCCAGGGCCTGGAGTGGTATCAGAACCATCACTTGGCGTAGTTTCAGAGCCATCAGTTGATGTAGTTTCAGAGCCAGGGCTTGGTGTGGTATCAGAACCGTCACCTGGTGTGGTGTCAGAGCCATCAGTTGGTGTAGTTTCAGAGTCAGGGCCTGGAGAACCATCACTTGGCGTAGTTTCAGAGCCAGGGCCTGGAGTGGTATCAGAACCATCACTTGGCGTAGTTTCAGAGCCAGGGCCTGGAGTGGTATCAGAACCATCACTTGGCGTAGTTTCAGAGCCAGGGCCTGGAGTGGTATCAGAACCATCACTTGGCGTAGTTTCAGAGCCAGGGCTTGGTGTGGTATCAGAACCATCGGTTGGCGTAGTTTCAGAGCCAGGGCCTGGAGTGGTATCAGAACCATCACTTGGCGTAGTTTCAGAGCCAGGGCCTGGAGTGGTATCAGAACCATCACTTGGTGTGGTCTCAGAACCATCACTTGGCGTAGTTTCAGAGCCAGGGCCTGGAGTGGTATCAGAACCATCACTTGGTGTGGTCTCAGAACCATCACTTGGCGTAGTTTCAGAGCCAGGGCCTGGAGTGGTATCAGAACCATCACTTGGTGTTGTCTCAGAGCCATCAGTTGGCGTAGTTTCAGAACCATCACTTGGTGTGGTCTCAGAACCATCACTTGGCGTTGTTTCAGAACCAGGGCCTGGAGTGGTATCAGAGCCATCAGTTGGCGTAGTTTCAGAGCCAGGGCTTGGTGTGGTATCAGAACCATCAGTTGGTGTAGTTTCAGAGCCAGGACCTGGAGTGGTATCAGAACCGTCACTTGGTGTGGTGTCAGAGCCCTCAGTTGGCGTAGTTTCAAAGCCAGGGCTTGGTGTGGTATCAGAACCATCAGTTGGTGTGGTGTCAGAGCCATCAGTTGGTGTAGTTTCAGAGCCAGGGCCTGGAGTGGTATCAGAGCCATCACTTGGCGTAGTTTCAGAGCCAGGGCCTGGAGTGGTATCAGAACCATCAGTTGGTGTGGTGTCAGAGCCATCAGTTGGTGTAGTTTCAGAGCCAGGGCTTGGTGTGGTATCAGAACCATCAGTGGGTGTAGTTTCAGAACCAGGGCCTGGAGTGGTATCAGAGCCATCACTTGGCGTAGTTTCAGAGCCAGGGCCTGGAGTGGTATCAGAACCATCAGTTGGTGTGGTGTCAGAGCCATCAGTTGGTGTAGTTTCAGAGCCAGGGCCTTGAGTGGTGTCAGAATCACCACTTGGTGTAGTTTCAGTGGCAGGGCCTGGAGTGGTATCAGAACCGTCACTTGGTGTGGTGTCAGAGCTCTCAGTTGGCGTAGTTTCAGAGCCAGGGCTTGGTGTGGTATCAGAACCATCAGTTGGTGTAGTTTCAGAGCCAGGGCCTGGAGTGGTATCAGAACCATCACTTTGTGTGGTGTCAGAGCTCTCAATTGGCGTAGTTTCAGAGCCAGGGCTTGGTGTGGTATCAGAACCATCAGTTGGTGTAGTTTCAGAGCCAGGGCCTGGAGTGGTATCAGAACCATCACTTGGCGTAGTTTCAGAGCCAGGGCCTGGAGTGGTTTCAGAACCATCACTTGGCGTAGTTTCAGAGCCAGAACCTGGAGTGGTATCAGAACCATCACTTGGTGTGGTCTCAGAACCATCACTTGGCGTAGTTTCAGAGCCAGGGCCTGGAGTGGTATCAGAACCATCAGTTGGTGTGGTGTCAGAGACATCAGTTGGTGTAGTTTCAGAGCCAGGGCTTGGTGTGGTGTCAGAACCATCAGTTGGTGTAGTTTCAGAGTCAGGGCCTGGAGTGGTATCAGAACCATCATTTGGTGTGGTGTCAGAGCCATCAGTTGGTGTAGTTTCAGAGCCAGGACCTGGAGTGGTATCAGAACCATTACTTGGTGTGGTGTCAGAGCCATCAGTTGGTGTAGTTTCAGAGCCAGGGCCTGGAGTGGTATCAGAACCATCACTTGGTGTGGTGTCGGGGCTCTCAGTTGGCGTAGTTTCAGAGCCAGGGCTTGGAGTGGTATAAGAACCATCACTTGGTGTAGTTTCAGAGCCATCAGTTGGTGTAGTTTCAGAGCCAGGGCCTGGAGTGGTATCAGAACCGTCTCTTGGTGTGGTGTCAGAGCCTGGAGTGGTATCAGAAACATCACTTGGTGTGGTGTCAGAGCCATCACTTGGTGTAGTTTCAGAGCCAGGGCCTGGAGTGGTATCAGAACCATCACTTGGTGTTGTGTCAGAGCCAGGGCCTTGAGTGGTATCAGAACCATCACTTGGTGTTGTCTCAGAGCCATCAGTTGGCGTAGTTTCAGAGCCAGGGCTTGGTGTGGTATCAGAACCATCACGTGGTGTTGTCTCAGAGCCATCAGTTGGCGTAGTTTCAGAGCCAGGGCTTGGTGTGGTATCAGAACCATCACTTGGTGTGGTTTCAGAGCCATCAGTTGGTGTAGTTGGAGTAGTTTCAGAGCCAGGGCCTGGAGTGGTATCAGAACCATCACTTGGTGTTGTGTCAGAGCCAGGGTCTTGAGTGGTATAAGAACCATCACTTGGTGTAGTTTCAGAGCCATCAGTTGGAGTAGTTTCAGAGCCAGGGCCTGGAGTGGTATCAGAACCGTCTCTTGGTGTGGTGTCAGAGCCTGGAGTGGTATCAGAAACATCACTTGCTGTGGTGTCAGAGCCATCACTTGGTGTAGTTTCAGAGCCAGGGCTTGGTGTGGTATCAGAACCATCAGTTGGTGTGGTGTCAGAACCATCAGTTGGTGTAGTTTCAGAGCCAGGGCCTGGAGTGGTATCAGAAACATAACTTGGTGTGGTGTCAGAGCCGTCAGTATGTGTATTTTCAGAGCCAGGGCCTGGAGTGGTATCAGAACTATCAGTTGGCGTAGTATTAGGGCCATCAGTTGGTGTAGTTTCAGAGTTTTTAGTTGGTGTTGTCTCATCTGTTGTTGAAGAGGGTGTTGACTCTGTGCCACTCGTCGAGCCTGTTTCACCTGGGATTATCACACCACCTCCGGCTACGCCTGAATCAAAAACTGTGGTGGTTGTTTCTAATGTGGCATCTGCTGTTGTTGACTCTGTTAATGGCAAACTTGTAATAGCTGTTCCACCAGAATCAAAATCAGATGTTGTCGCCAATGTTGTGGTTGTCATTCCATTGGTTGCTGTTGAAGATGTGGGTGTTGACTCAGGCTCACTTGTTGCACCTGTTGATCCTGTTATGGCTTCTCCATCTCCTGCTGCACCTGAATCGTAGTCATCGATTGTTGTCTCCGTTTGGGAGGTTTTGGGAGATGATATCTCTGTTGATGCTGAGGTCGTTGACTCCGTGCCGTCTGTAGCGTATGTTGAGCCGGTTATGCCTTCTCCATCTCCTGCTGCACCTGAATCGTAGTCATCGATTGTTGTCTCCGTGTGGGAGGTGGAGAGAGATGATTCCTCAGTTGATGCTGAGGACGTTGACTCCGTGCCGTCTGTAGCGTATGTTGAGCCGGTTATGCCTTCTCCATCTCCTGCTGCACCTGAATCGTAGTCATCGATTGTTGTCTCCGTTTGGGAGGTGGAGAGAAATGATTCCTCAGTTGATGCTGAGGTCGTTGACTCCGTGCCGTCGGTAGCGTATGTTGAGCCGGTTATGCCTTCTCCATCTCCTGCTGCACCTGAATCGTAGTCATCGATTGTTGTCTCCGTGTGGGAGGTGGAGAGAGATGCTTCCTCAGTTGATGCTGAGGTCGTTGACTCCGTACCGTCTGTAGCGTATGTCGAGCCGGTTATGCCTTCTCCATCTCCTGCTGCACCTGAATCGTAGTCATCGATTGTTGTCTCCGTTTGGGAGGTGGAGAGAGATGATTCCTCAGTTGATGCTGCGGTCGTTGACTCCGTACCGTCTGTAGCGTATATCGAGCCGGTTATGCCTTCTCCATCTCCTGCTGCACCTGAATCGTAATCATCTATTGTTGTCTCCCATGTGGAAGTCTCTGTTGTTTCCGTTTGGATGGTGGAAAAAGATGATACCTCTGTTGATGCTAAGGTCGTTGACTCCGCTCCGTCTGTAACATATGTTGACCCCGTTATGGCTTCACCCTCGCCAGCTGCACCCGAATCGTAATCATCTGTTGTTGTATCCAAAGTGGGATTTGTTACTGCCTCGGTTGTATCCCAAATTCGAGTTGTGAAGTCTGAGAAAGGTGTGGTCTCCGAATTTGGGGTCGTCTTATCAGAAGTTATCTGTAACTCTGTCGTTGTGTCTATCACCGTGGTTGTGAGTAAAGGTGTAGAGGCCGTTGTCGTTATGTCGGAGATATCGTGATGACAGGGACCAGCTGAGACCACAATCCATTCTGGAAAATAGAAAATTGAATTTTAATGCATTTCAGAAATAGTACTAATTGATGGCTTACCCTTTCCCGTGAGATACTCATCCTTACGCAGATCACAAGTATTCCTAAATGTTTTCGTTGACTTCCCATCAAAGGCACAGATCAGTTCAATGGATGAACAGGCTGTAACCGCTGGAGGACAGGGTCCATTGCAGAAAAATCTGAAAGCTAATTGAGATCAAGAGACATGAAATGAAATTCCCAGAAAAAAAATCCCAAATGACTACCATAACCGCGTCTAACTGCTTCCAAGAAATGATTGAGGCTTGCAAACGTTTTGAAGGCACCATTCAAAATACCACACACCGGTGCCATTCCAATTGCCGTGGTTGGCTTCTGAGTTGGTCTATTGTGTGGCATATAGGCATATGGATAGCCATACCAGGGAAGACTGCTGGGTGGTGGCAGTGGCGGCAAAAACGGTGGATACGGCTGGACTTTGTAGCCATAGAAACGACCCGAATGGCCAAATGTCAATCTCAGAAAGGGTACTAGCCAGGCTAGTAGAAATATTAGAATCCTCATGACACGACGATATTGTTATTGTTATTTTCAATTCGATAATGAGACGCGCTAATTAAATTTTATAGTATTTAAATGAAACAACTGAGAACGATATTTGAGCCAGCCGCACACACATACACACACACTCACTAAAATTAGACAATGACTAGTGTTGGAGGGATGTGGGTCGTTTCCATTACATATATGGAAAATATATATATTAATTACAATTTCGATGTTTCATAATGTACGTGATCCGAGTGTGCTGAGAGAAATTATTCTGTCGTTTATAAAAAAAGACAAAAAGTGGATTCCTTGAACGCGGAAATGATTGAAATTTCATGCGACACATCATTGCTCTGAACTGAACGGTGAATAACTTTGTTCTCTGCCAGTGATGAGCTTTTTGTAATGGCTTGCATATTTTAGGTATTTTGAATATTTTTGGGATGGGGAACTTGATACGTTATATGGGTCATAGAACTTAGGCTTTGCAATTGTTATTGTTTTCCTTTGCCATTTTTTTTTCTTAATTCGATGGGGTGGAACATTTACGCGTAAATATATTAAGATGGGTTCAAGGACGTTGTAGAATTCGTAATTTAAGTTCCATAAACTTAAATCTTTCGGTTTAGGCATTTTTATTGAAAATCTCTTGGAATATAATAAGTGAATTTAATCGTTGTACTTATTCTATTAAAAATTACAATACATACTAATTTGCAGATCAGCATCAGATATGCCTTATTTTTCTTTAAGTCCTTGTAAATAAGACAAAAACTCCGCTAGAGCCTTATGTAATTCATAGCTTCTGTGAACTAGGGGGAAGTTTGTAAACTTTTCATATTCGCCCGAATAAATATTTTGCCAGATTTGAAGAGGTAGTTAAGTTCATATCAAGCATGTAATTTGATTGGGCGCCATTAAAGAAATATATTTTGATTTATTTTATCTATCGGCCTTTCTTTCGATTTACCTATTCTATTTGCTCATCTATATTTAGGAATATCGATTTACATATCTATCTGGATATTTGATTGGGCGCCATACATTGTTGCGGAAACGCGATTTTGATGAACTTCTTTGTTTAGGCGCTAGTGTATGTCGCCGTATCTATCAGCGAGGTGAATGAATTTCCTTCGATTTTAATGGATTTTTCTGAAGAATCATCCTCCCCATCTTCAGGTTGTGCCGGGGAAATATAAATCCCCAGCAGGTAATTTTCATCAGGACACGGCAGTTGATTGTAGGACAGCTATATAATTCCATAATAATTGCGTACGTGTCCATTGAAATAATTTCCCTTAACATAGGCAGTAGTAAAGGTGTTATTCACATTGTTGTGGAATCGCGATTTTGGTGGACTAACAACGGGTTCGGACTGGCCAATCGTTAACAGGTGGTCCCATGGGGCTAGCGGGGAAGTTTGAGAATCCTAGCAGAATAGCAGTAAGATTGGCCGGGTCGAACTTCAACTACCCTCTACCATTTAGAAAAAATTTGAAAATTTTCAAAAAAAAATCATTAAAAAATACTTGTAAAATCATAAAAATATCGAATATAGGGAGGGAATATAGCGAAGACGGGGACCAGTATAGACAAATGTTGTCATAGGCCAATACAATTTTTAAATGCGAAAATAAGAAATGTCCCAAAATTATCAAAATACCGAATATAAGAAAGTACCGTTATATAAGGGAGGTACGGTACGGTTACCTCAACCTATAGAACGCATTACGAAGTGCAAATACGAAATTTGAAACAATTTATGTGATGAAAGTCGCTACAATTATCAAAATGCCGAATATTGGGCGGTACCATTATATGGGGCTATACCAAAACGTGAACCTACATACCATACCATACCACCATCTTCAATACCAAAAGTCCTGCAGGCATAACAAACATTTGAGTTTGCCCGGTCTCGAACTATCCTATATTGAAGGTCCCACAGATTTGGAGGAAAGTTTTCGTGAACTCCTCACATTCGCCGGAAAAAATGGGTATAAAATTGGAAATTTGATTGGGCGGCACTAGAAAAAAAATCTGTCGATCTATATTCCATAAATCCATCTATTTATTTATCAATTTATTGAAATATTTGATTATCTATCTGGAAATTTGATTGGGCGCCACTACATGCAATGTTGTGAAAACGCTATTTAGGTGGAACAACTACCAATTTGATTTGCTCAGCACCGGTAGAGCCGGTGCTGATATACAGGCTCTTATGGAATAAATGTTTTGCCAGATTTGTAATGTATGTCAATTGATATTAAACTTTAAAATTTGATTGGGCGCCACTAGAGAATAATGTTTCCAATTATCTATCCAAATATTTCTACCGATTTATCTCTATATCTTTCGATTTCTTTATATTAACCGAATATTGTATGGAATTTCGGATTTAACATGAAAATTTGATTGGGAGCCACTATAGCATAATGTTTTCAATCATCGACTTGTGAAATAACTACCAGTTCGACCATCGTATACAGACTCCCATGAAAAAAATGTTATGCCAGCCTTGGGAATGTAAGTGAACTAGAATTAAAATTGATTGGGCGCCAATATGAAATAATGTTTCCAATTATCGATCTTTATTACCAATGTATATTTATATATTTCTATCTATTTAAATCTCCATCTATTGAGTTATTAATATTAACCCAATATTTTATACAATTTCGTATTAAACATGGAAATTTGATTGGGCTCCACTATAGCATAGGGGTTTCAATTATAGATCTATATTTATCCGTCTACCTATTCATATAATTATTGATTTAACTATTTGTTTGTGTATCTATCTACCGATTTATCTATCTATCTTTGTGACATTTGATTGGGCGCCACCATAGACAACATTTGAATTCAATATCTTTCTATTAACTTATCTCTCTATAGATATATCTATCAATAAATTTATCTATCTATATATTCATCTATCTATCTCTCTACCTTTTATTATATAGATCTATGAATCAATCTAGTTTTTTACCATCAGAATATTTTTTTCTGCTCAACTCTTGCCTTTTGATCTTTCCTTAGAAAATATCAAAAATAATTTGTCGTCCGAAATTTATGTCTTTTTTACCCTTCCCTTCAGATCAATCACACTTGCCTTGAGCTTCTCTACTCATCGATTCCGACTCCTGATGCAAAATGCATTTATTGGAAAATTTGCAGAATTTAAAACCACAAAGTGGATCGTAATTTCCGGCCAACCTGTCACTTGGTTCGAGTATTCGTACAATTCCTCAAAATTCCAATCTAAAAAAGTTAGGCTTTTAATCATAAACGTCCAACAAAATCTAGGCTTCTCCTCACATACGCCAGACCCTAGCTCTAATATTACATAAAATGTTGGCTCTGAGACCACACCTATTGATGCCTCTAAGACCACTTTCCTATAGAGAATATTATCCAAATATTTTTTCGATAGAAGCCAATATCTTTGTATAAAAATTCTTGGTCATCTCCTACCCACCTTAATATTCATATTTCAAATACACACAATTTTCGTTGTTTTTGTAATAAGAACCCCATCCATGGTTTCATTTGTTTGTTTTGCATTTTGTAATTTAATATTTAAACAATGACCAAACCTTTTAGTTCATATTTGACAAAAAATTACAAAGCGCATTGGATTTTTTTGGTTTGTTTTGCCACTGAAAAAAAACCCACAAAGAAAATGCAATGACCTGTGATCACGTTCTAAGAGAAGAGTAACCCACTGTGTGTGTGGTATTCCCTAGGCAGCATTACGCAATGTTGGCATACCTAACATGTACTTCGTGGGGACTTCCTTCTGTTTGGGGGAGAGAACATTGAATAACTGTCTGTCATTACAAGAAACGCAATTTCCCTTTTTTTGGCGAAAACAAAAACAAATTTTCTCAATAATAATTTAGCCAAGCGTAAGAAGAAGTTTAGTCGTAGATTTCACTTGGAACTGAAGGGATTCTTGGTGTTGGATAATTTCTCCTTTTAAAATAAAAAAAGTAGCAACAATTTCCCGTAGTTATAATTTACAATGTTGAAGGTAGTGTTACCATTACTTGTGCTTCTTGGCTCCACTTCGGTCCATTCGAAACCCTTTAACTTGGACGATTGTGGTCCTCAGGTGTGTGCCTCGTATGGTGGGGAGAAAAGGGTTTTTACTAATATGTGTGAACTTTTAAACGAAATCGAAACAACGGGTGTTGGTATGTATGGAGCAATCAAGATTTGGTTGGAAGGTTGTGATTAAAAGCCGTACTTTCTTAGATTGGAATTTTGAGGAGTTAAACGAATGCTCGGATCAAGTGAGAGCTTGCACGAAGGAATACGATCCAGTTTGTGGTTTTGCAGGTTTCGAATTTCGCACATTCCCCAATGAATGCATAATGGACCAGGAGTCGGAGGAGACAGGAATTGGTGAGTAGGAAAGCTCGAGGCAAGTGTGATGGATGAGCAGAGATATTTTGTAAAAAAGTGAAAAACAAAATATTTTGGAAAAAATTATTAAAATTACATTTATATTTGAAAGGGAAGATAGACAGATAGATAAGTAGATAGAGAGGAGGATAGATAAATAGATGGATAGATATATTGGTATGTTCATAGATAGATTGATGATATTTTATAGTGGCGCCCAATAAATTTCCCAGAGAGATACATAAATATATAAATATATTAGAAAACAAATAGGTATATAAATCGATAGATGTAGATCGACAGAAAGATACTTAGTTTTAATATTCGATGGATAGAAAAATATATCGATAATAGGAAACATTCCACTGTGGCGCCCAATCAAATGTCCATGTTTAATACGAAATTGCATACTATTTCTGGTTAATATAAATAAATCGATAGATAGAGAGATAGATCGCTAGAAATATTTATGGATAGATAATAAGGAGATAATTCGAAATATTATCCTAAAGTGGCGCCCAATCAAATTTCCAAGTTTAATAGGAAATTAATAATATACATACAATATCCGGGTAACATAAATAAATGGACTGAGGAATAGAGATATGTATGTCTAACTGGATAGATAATAGAGATCGATAGATGAGAAATCATTCTACAGTGGCGCCCAACCAAAATTCTATATTTAGGAGGCAATGAAAACCCTTCAAGTATGACAAAACATTTATTTCGGCAAATGTAGATAATACAGGAACTTCCCTCCTAGCCCCATGGGAGCCTGTATACGATGACTCTACCGGTGCGAGGCTGAACTGGTAGTTGTTCCACTTAAATCGCATTTCCACAGCAATGTACGAGGTGAGATAAAAAAACTCCAACATAGTCAAGCTTCATAATGTTTACATTTTTTATTTTTTTAAATTTCATTGAATGAAAGCAATAAATGTAGGAAATCAAATCAAATTTTAGAGTAAATTTAGATTTCTTCGAATTTGGCACGAATTATGGCCTTCAAACGGCCAATGAAACCGTCACACGCTGCCCAAATGTTGCTCTGCGGTATTCTGGCTCATTCCCGGGGAAGCGCTTGCTTGAGGTGATCAACACTTTGGTATTTTTTAGTGCCAACCTTGATTTCCAAAATTCTCCACACATAATTGTCCAACGGATTGGTATTCGGAGATTTTGATGGCCATTGGGCGCTGGAAATGAAGCGAGGAACCTTATTTTCTAACCATTCTTGGGTGGCGCGTGCTGAGTGCGATGGTGCTGAGTCCTGTTGGAATATCCAAGCTCTGCAGGCAAAATATGTGCGGGCCCAATGCTTTAATATACCCTCCAGAATATTTTCGCGATAATATTCCGCATTTATTCTGATGCCATGGGCTATTAATATGAGCGGAGAGCAACCATCGGCTGTTTTGGGGGCCCACACCATCACCAAGGCCGGCGCTTGAGTTCTGGTGGCCAACCGAGTGTGGACATTTTCTGCTGACCTCTTTGGCAAGTAAAAACGATCATTTTGTTTGTTTACAAACTGCTGGACAACAAATGATTTCTCATCGGAGAAAACCAAATTCGGTTCAGCACTTTCGGCCAAGTGAAGCAACTCTTTAGCTCTTTTGAGTCGATTTTCTTTCTGTTGCAGTGCAAGTTCTTGCACGTTTTGGAATTTAAATGGCTTCACCCCGAGCTCATTTTTCAATATTTGCCGAATGAAATACTGGGATATGTTCAGCTCACGAGCCATTTTTCGGCCACTGCGATGCGGGTTTCGATCAAGTCGCTTCTTTACTTTTCGAACCATTTTTTGCTGATGTCGCTGTTTTCTTCCGTCCACTTCCTTGACGTTGGGCTACACTACCAGTATCACGGTAATGAGCGATGGTACGAGACACAAAAGATTTATTAACATTTAAATGCTGGAGTGCTCTAACGACAGCCACTTGAGGTTTTCCAGCCAAATACAAAGAAATCACACTATCACGCTTGAATTCCATCACGAATACCTTTTTTTCTGGAAAATTCTCACCAAAATGATTTTGGACGCTTGTAAACAATATTATGAGCTGTCACTGGAATAATTTTAACAGCTGTCGGGCGAGTGGCTTCGAAATGACAGCAGTCTGAAGTTGGTTGCAGTTTTTTTTATCTCACCCTATATAAAATAATTCCACAGATTTGTTTTTCTAGTGGCGCCCAACCAAATTTCCAATTTTCATACTCATTTATTATCCTCGTAAAGTCTGGAAAAATATTTATGCAGGCGATTAGGAAGGATTCAGAAAGTTTCCCCCTAACACTATCAAACCTCCAGTTTACGATGGTTCTACCGCTATACTAAATCATATTTCGACAAAAATGTATGTAGTGACGCCCAATCAAATTTCTAGATAAATAGAAAATCGATAGATAGAGATAGACATAACTGGATAGTTAATATAGATCATAAGATTCATAACTTTTTTCTCAAGTGGCGCCCAATCATATTTCCATATTTAATGCAAATTTACACTCAATATCCGGTTAATATATCAACAGAAATATGGATCGAATAATATTGGTCGATAGATGGAAGACCCATCATTCTACTGTGGAGCCTTACATAATTTACATGTTAATTATCCTTTTTACATCTCAAGTCTGCAAACTATTTAAGAAAACATTGATTCTGGTGAATGCGAGGTATTCACGAACTTCCCTCCTGATCCTATGGGAACTTCAGGCTACGATGGCTCTACCTGTGTTGGGAATCCCAACATGTTGTTTGGTCACAAAAATCACTTTAAGACAACCATGTATGTAGTGGCGCCCAATAAAATTTCCGGAGAGATATATAAATCGATAGATAAACAAATAGCTAGATAAATCTATAGATAGGGTAATATATTGAAAGACAGATAAATGGTTAGATGAAACGAAAATTTAAACCGAAACATTTTTCTCTAGTGGCGCCCAATCAAAATTACCATGTTTAATACCCATTTACTTTCCCCTTCAAGTCTGGCAAAACATTTACTCCGGCGAATGTGAAGAGTTCTCGAACTTCCCCCCTAGCCCCGTGGGACCTCCGGTCTACGATGGTACTACCGGTGTTGGCCAGTCCGAACCTGTTGTTAGTCCACCAAAATCGCGATTCCACAACAATGTGAATAACACGTTCAATGCTGCCTATGTTGAGGGAAATTATTTCAATGGACCCGTACACAATTATTATGGAATTATATTGCCGCCCTACAATCAACTGCCACTCCCAGATGATGATGATGATGTGTTTGGAGACATAGATTTCACCGGTGGTGATTATTTCCCAGACGATGATGTCGAAGGCGTACCCACAGAAGGTGAAGATGTGGAGGAGGATGATGATGATGAAGAAGAAGATTCTACAAATAAATCCATTAAAATCGGAGGAAATGCATTTACCTCGGTAGTAGATGCTGTGAAATATATTAGCGCTTTTACCAAGGAGTTGCTGTCATATTTACAAGGACTCAAGGGAAAATAAGGCATGCATCTGATGTTGGCCTGTGTAAATTATTATGTATTGTAAATTTTTATAATAGAATAAATAGAACGATTGAATGCACGAATTTCATTGAAAGACATTTTCATTAGAAATTCCTAAAACGAAAGATTAATAATCTATTTGGTTTAGGGATGTACGGACATCAGAACGGCGGACATTTCTCTTTAGACGTCAGACCTTCCTTTGTCATCTAGGATACCAACCAGGGTTGTTTGGTGAAGTTGTGCTATGCAATGGGAATTTATACACATAGAAATGAATTTCATTGCGTTAGTCATTGGTGTTCTCTGGAATGAGCGAACCGATTTGTTTCTGCAAACTTCAAACGAAAGGTGATGTCAATACGAAGGTTCATACATATACAAATAGTCTCTGTTCATATATTGATTCATGAATTACCTCTTTTGGTGCAATAATTTCGAAATATGTATTTTGAAAATGTTTCAGTGAGTGAGTGACTGATTCAAAGCCTCGGCAAATGGCTGGAGCTAGAAGAATCATCAGAAGAAGAATTATCAGAAGAAATGGTCCGATCTCTAACATATTTGTAATAGATCTTATGTTGAGGAAAAAATTGAGATCTACAAAATCTGAATGGAATCGTTTGTTGATTCCGCGCTTTATGAGCTCCATGAATATTCAAAAATTTGACCCTCTGTGGGGGAGGTACCAGAAGGAGTGGTTCGATATATCCCATCTTCGAAGCAGATCTTGTGTTAGTAGAAATAATGGGATGTGTGAAAATTGAACAGGACCGAATTTTATGATCGTTTTGGTTATTCAAAATTTTGACCCTTTGTGGGGGAGGTATCAGAAGAAATGGTCCGATCTCTAACATATTTATAATAGATCTTGTTTTGAGGGAAATATTGTGATCTACAAAATCTGAATGAAATCGTTTGTTGATTCCGCGCTTTATGAGCTCCATGAATATTCAAAATTATGACCCTTTGTTGGAGAGGTATCAGAAGGAATGGATCGATATATTACATCTTCAAAGCAGATCTTGTGTTAGTTGAAATAATGGGATGTGTGAAAATTGAACAGGACCGAATTTTATGATCGTTTCGGTTATTCAAAATTTTGACCCCTTGTGGGGGAGGTATCAGAAGAAATGGTCCGATCTCTAACATATTTATAATAGATCTTGTTTTGAGGACAATATTGAGATCTACAAAATCTGAATGGAATCGGGTGTTAATTCCGCGTTTTATGAGCTTCGTGAATATTCAAAATTTTGACCCTCTGTGGTGGAGGTACCAGAAAGAGTGGATCGATATATCCCATCTTCGAAGCAGATCTTGTGTTAGTAGAAATAATGGGATGTGTAAAATTTGAAGAGGACCGGATGCTTATTTCGGATTTTATGATTGTTTCAGTTATTCTAAATTTTGACCCCTTGTGGGGGAGGTATCAGAAGAAATGGTACGATCTGTACCATATTTATAATACATCTTCTGTTGATGGAAATATTGAGATGTACCAAGTCTGACTGAAATCGGATGTTAAATTTGCGTTTTATGAGCTACATGGATATTCATGGGGGAGGTATCAAAAGGAGTGGATCGATATATTCCATCTTCTCAGCAGATCTTGTGTTAGTAGAAATAATAGGATGTATGAAATATGAAGAGATCCGGATGATCATTTCGGATTTAATATTCGCTTTGGTTATTCGCAACTTTGATCCTTTGTGGGGGAGGTAGCAGAAAGAATGGTCCGATCTCTACTATCTTTTTAACAGATCTTGTATAAACTTTGAGCTGTACCAATTCTGATTGGAATCGGATGCTGATTTCGAGTCATATGAGCTTCATAGTTATTCAAAATTTTGACCCTTTGTGGGGAGGTACCGGAAGGAGTGGACCGATATATTCCATCATCAGACCAGATCTTGGGTAAATAAAAATATTGTGATGTGTGTAGATAGAGTAAACAGATATTGCCCATTTTTGTACCTAAGTTAGGATGGAAATATTAGAATTTTCATAGTTGGAGAAAAATCATTATTCTTTCCCTCTCTGTCCAGTAAAATGTTTTCCTTTAAAATTTCGACCTTTGTGGGAGGTACCAGAACGAATGGACCAATATTGCCCATCTCCTAACACGATTTAAGTTTGATAATAATATTAGGATGTATCAAGTTTTGACCAAATCGGATACTCCTTACGAGAGTTATTGTGCTCACCAGATAGACGGACGGACGGACATCGCTAGATCGTCTCCAAATGTTTTGAAACGGATTTTGTGCAAAGAGACATAGAGTCTAAACCCGTTATTTCGATGAGACACGTTTTGGCCGTATCAAATGATAAATACTGTGAATAAATCGACTCAGAAAGTGATTCTATGAAGGTTCTCAAAATTAACTATGGGCCTACCTCGCTTCCTTCTCTAGCCATATGGCTGAGGGTATAAAAATTAAAAATCGTTGTTTATATTTTTTTGAAAATTACGTCTTATTTTATTGGTAAAAAGATCAATTCATATATATCTAAATCTCCTGATAGTTTTCCAAAAAGTCCATTAGTTCGGCCTGTAATGTGTTCTCCAACATGTGTTCATATTCAGGATATGATACAGTATTGGGATCATAATATGATATAGTGTAAGAATCACCATGGGGGTAATTGCTGTAATGCTCAGGTTGGGGATTGTTATAATTGGGATCGAATGCAGGAGAATATTCTTGCAAATTTTCGTGGCCACAGGTAGGGTACGCGAGAGATTTTCCACTGCATGGTTTGAAACTGGCATCGTATGGTGATACTCCAAACCTTTCTGGTATCCATGAGGTGGCATCTCCTCCCAAAGATGCTATTGGGTTGGATTCCGATTGTAGAGGTGCTATGTAACCCAAAGATGCTAAGTGGTGATGAGGTTGCTGACTAAATAAAGTACCCACAGTTTGTTGAGGGCCGGTATTTTCATAATCCATAAAAGGATTGGTTTCTGAATAACTTGGATTGGCCGGATAAGGTGCGGTAAATGCTAAAGCTTCCGCTTTTGCAGCATATGGGCCGCTGTGGGGTATTTGTCTCTTTTGATTTTTACTTTTTGATAAAGAACGCTTCGTAGATTTAGTTAATCGTCGACGTGGCCACCTAGTTTTGTAAAATTGTGAAATTTGTTTAAGGAATTCTGGTGGCAGCGACATTTGTGGGACAATGGAAAGATTTTTTTGAGTCAGCCGATAACTTTTGCCATTAGAGACAATATTTGATTGCGGAACATAGTTTGTCGTGGTAGAGACATTTATTGGCGAGTTTGTGGTGACGTCATTTATTGGTTGCGTTTCTTTCGACGAAGATTTTGGGGGTGGATTGGCAGATTGAGAGACTTTATGGGGTGATTCCAAGTGGGAATTTGAAGATTTTGAGGTTGGATTTGAAATCACCGATACTGGATTTAAAGATGGTGGGATTGACATCACAAATTCGGAGGCCGGATTTGAAAGTTTTGATAATGCATTTGGAGATTCTGAGATTGGATTTGAATACTCGAAGTGGGGGTTTAAAAGCTTTGAGAATGAATTTTGAGATTTTGATACAGAATTTAAGGGTACTGGGGTTGAAATTTGATATTCGGAGGCTGGATTTGGAAGTTCTGAAACTGAATTTGGAGATTCTGTTACTGGACTTGTAGATTTTGGTAGCGGGTTTGAATATTTCAAATTTGCATTTGAAGGTGGTTGCTCTGCGTTATTAGCGGAGCTCAATTTCATGTCAGTGGGTAGGGATGTCGATGAGGCATCTGAAACTGAATTTGGATGCTCTTTTACTGGATTTGTAGATTTTGGTAGCTGGTTTGAATATTCCAAATTTGCATTTGAAGGTGGTTGCTCTGCGTTATTTGCGGAGCCTAATTGCATGTCATTGGGTGGTAGGGATGTCGATGCGGAATCTGAAATGAGTTTTAAAAAATTTTTATGTTATGTTGTCAGATAAAAACTTTTCTGTATCCATACCTGGTGATGTGATGAACTCCCCCTTTTTGGAAATTCCTTCCTTTGATGTAATTTGTGCATGTTTCGAAATCGCCGAAATATATTTTAAAACGGCCTTAGCTGAGGCAGTGGACAACAGATTTGAAGACGTATCCATGACGGGGTCCACTTTTTGCACAAAATCTCTCTGCGGAAGCGTTGAAGGGTTGTAGTTGGGAAATTCAGGACAAAAGCCAGGATAAGCTTTAATCCAATCTGCAAAAAAGGAAAATAATAAGTTTGAAAACAATTCCAAAATAATGTATTTTTTATACCCTCCACACAGTATGGAGGGTATATTAAATTTGTCATTCCCTTTGTAACATCTTGAAATATACATTTTTGACCCCACAAAGTATATATATTCTTAATTAGCATAAAATTATATGTCGATTTATCGTTGACCGTCCGTCTGTCTGTTTGGCCGTCCTTCCGTCTGTGGAAATGACTCTAGCTTCCGAATGAATTAAAGTAGGTTGATAAAATTTTACTCAAATGTGTATTGGTCTGCAGGACTTTTGGTATCGAAAATGGGCTATATAGGTCCACGTTTAGGCATAGCCTCCATATAACTGTACCTCCCTATATTTGGTATTTTGATGTTTTTGGCGACATAATGCAACGGAATTGTTTCAAATTTCGTTATGATAGTTTGTAATGGATACTACAGCCTGTGACCGAAAATTGGCTATGCAGGTCCACGTCTTCGTATAGCCCCCATATAATGGTACTTCCCTATATTCAGTATTTTGATGATTTTACCGACATTATTCAACAGATTGTTTCATAACTCGTATTTGAATTCTTAATAGGTACTAAAGTCAGAAAACTGTCTATGCAGGTCCAGGTCTTCATATAGCCCCTAAATGTCGGTACCTCCAGATATTCGGTATTTTAATGATTTTAGCGACTTTATACACGGGAATTGTTTCAAATATCGTATATGACGTTCATAATGAGAACTACAGCCTGTGTCTAAGCAGGTCTTAGTGTAGCCCCTAAATATCGGTATTTACCTATTTTCGCTATTTTGATGTTTTTAGCTACATTATTCTCCGGAATTGTTCAAATTTCGTTATTGCACTATTGTAATGGGTACTACAGCCTGTGACATAAAATCGCAGGTCCACATCATCGTATACACCCCAAAATAACGGTAACTCCCTACATTTTTAAGATTTTAACAGAGTTTATAACTAGTTCTATCTTTTATTTATTTTTTTAAGTTTCCAAATCCTTTCCAAATGGTGAAAGGTATTCAATGTTCGGCCCGGCCGAACTCACAGCTCTTTCACTTGTTTTTTTTTTTTTTTTTTTTTTTTTTTTTTTGTAATTGTTATGTGTTGCATTGGGTACTGAATGGCGTTTCAGAATCCTAATTTATATATTGATTAATTTATTATACCCTCCACCATAGTATCCTCCTCCATACCTATTAGGCCCCATAAAGAGCTATTCAAGTATAAAATTCCATGTCGATTTAGCGATGTCCGTCCTCTTGAGGAAATCACTCTTAGCTTCCGAAAAAAATTATGTAGGTGGATAAAATTTTACTCAGAGGTGTGTTAGGTCTTCAGGACTTTTGGTATTGAAAATGGTCCACGTTTTGGCATAACCCCTTATATTTTTCACCAGAATTTTTTTAATTTGGTATTTGGACAGAAAATTGCCTTTGTAAGTCCATATCATCGTATAGCCAAATTATGGTGGCACTAAATTCGGTATTTTAATGATCTTTAAATAAAATTATCTGAAAATTGGTATTTGGAGGTCGGGGAGAGATAATTGGTTCACTTTTCCATCTAGCTCCATATAACTGTTATATCTTATATTCGGAAAGCGGCATTTTCCACAGATTTTTTTTTTTTTTTTTTGCATTTTAAGAGTTCGACCCGGCCGAAGTTAAATACTTTTTTACTCATTTATTTCATTTTTATTATTTGCCATTTATTCTGTTTTATTTACTATTTATCGTTAATGTTTTTATTTGACATTATTTATTTATTTGTAATTTTGTATTTTTTTTTAATTTATTAATTTATATTTTTTATTGTTATTATTTATTTATTGGCTTATTTTTATTCAATATTCCACCAATTATCCAATTAGAAACCCAGGCTTTCCAGGACTATTTAAAAAAATGTCTTACCTCTTCCCGTTAACCGACGCTCTTCATCCATTAAACAGGCATTGAGAAAGCTTTGATAATTACTTCCCTCACTGACAGCACACAGGGGCTCATACACCTTACATGCGTAGGTGGGAGGACAGGGACCAGCCTGCAGCAAGGCCCATACTTCAAAATCAAAAAAAAAAAAAAAAAAAAAAAAATAATGAAATGAATTAATGAACTTTTTTTAACTTCTTCACTCTCACCCTTTCCGCTATTGTCATATTCGTTGCTAAATTCCAAAATATTCGTAAAAGTTTTTGTCAAATCATATAATACACCACATACTGGACTATTGTCAATGAGACCAAGGGCCCTTGAAGTAAATATAAACGTTAGTACACAAATTAGAAATTTCTTAAAAATACGCATTTTAAAAACTCGAGGTTCTTTGGTATACTAATGTTACCCTTTGTATGGTCGTTTCTTCTATTTATAATTTTTTTGCCGTTCATGTTGTTGCTTCTTTCCCTAAAGAACAAGCTTTTTATCATTGTAGACTGTGGACATGTTCTTTTGTTAAAACAGCATAGAGGTTAGTCACAAATTGTTTTCGTTTTGCTACAAAACCTTTGATAAAACCAAATGACTTGTGGCTCGAAGCAAAGCTTTGGTTTCCCATTTCAAAATAGTTACAACAGAAATAACGACGTTTAATTCTAGTTTTTATTGAAACTCTTGTAACCTTCATCATGAGGAGAATATTAAATTTCTCTAGGGTCCCAAATAATGTGGCAGATTACTGGGTTTTTAAGCTGGATCGAACAAATAAATAACAAAAATCCGAATATTTTTTATATAGTCGGGCATCTTATAAATATACATAATTTGGCTATCTTTTTCCAGGAAGTTTTTTTATTTATTCCCTTGGAATTTAAAATTCTAAAAGTGAAGTGGGACCTTTCTTGTAATTGTTATATTCCAAATGAAAAGAAGGGTGTTTCGGTAGTACACAACTTTAAACATCCATCGCCATGAAATAAATGTATGTTTTCTCACCTTTAAGGACTCAAAGGATTAAAATTTCCAAAAAAATTCCACTACAAAGTATCAAAATTTCATAACAGCTCTCCTGAAATTTGAAATAAGTCTCAGATATTGATAAAACTTACCTAATCACAATATTTTTCCTATATTATAGTCCTTGTAAAATTAAATATGAGTTCACACTTTCTGGTACCTCCCCTAAAATAGTTCAAATACCTTTGCCCACAATTTTTCTTAGAAACATTATGTCTCGCCTAGAATATATAGGGAGCGATTAGGCTAAAATTTCACATATTGCAATATTTAAGCTAAGATTTGACCAGGTGAAACCATTAGGGATAAGTCAAAACTCGAGCGGGCCGACTATATGATACCCTTCACCCCTATGCATATTTAGTGGAGCGCCCGTACGAAAATAATTTATTTAAAATAGATCAAACCACCTATCAAGATTTTGCTTTAGAGCAGTTATAGTTTGGTTTCAGAGGGAACTAATATATCAGAGGCACTTCCAACTCTGAATCGATTTTCACTAAATTTGACGGAGAGATTTTAATCTTTTAAACCAAATAACATTGGTATAGAGTGCATGACATCACTTCGAGAAGGATCATATTAAAAAATATATATCGGAGCTGAGTTCCGCCAAATGGGCTGATATTTGCCATTATTTGCATAATAAACCTGAAATCGGATTAACGGATCTATATCCAAAACTTGCCAATGTATTTCCGAGCTCTCTAAGATATCTGGTACCAAATATAATTTTTGTCGAGTGCATATTACGAATGTGAGGGACTTAAAGAGCAAATCGGATGAAACATATATATGGGAGCTATACCTGAACCGATTTCCACCAAATTTGATATACTTGCTCCTAGACTTAATTCGGTCGGATGTACCAATCATTTGGACTGATATTGGCCATTTGGTGCACAATTAACCCGTAATCGGCAGAATATATGTGTAGGAGCTTTATCCAAATCTCAAAAGATTTTGATACAATTTGGCAGTGGTATTTCTGGTACCAAATATAATTTTTGTGGAGTGCATATTACAAATGTGAAGGACTTAAAAACCAAATCGGATGATACATATATATGAGAGTTATAGCTATATCCGAACCGATTTTCACCAAATTTGACGTATATGCTTCTAGACTTAATTCTGTCGGATGTACCAAAATTCAGGACTTTTGGACAGATATTGGTCATTTGGTTCACAATAAACCCCAAATCGGTTGAATATATATGGGAGCTACATCCAAATCTGAACCGATCTAAATAAAATTTGGTGGAGGTATTTCTGGGCTGAATCTGATACCTGGTACCAAATATCATTGTTATCGAATGCTTATTACGAATGTGAGGGACTTAAACACCAAATCGGATGAAACATATAAATATATATGGGAGCTATAGCTATATCTGCATCGATTTTCACCATATTTGAGGTACTTGCTTCTAGACTGATGCCGGTGGGATGTGCCAAAATTCAAGACTATTGGACTGATATTGGCCATTTAGTACATAATTAGCCCGATGAAGATATATGGGAGCTATACCTAAATCTGATCCGATTATTTCCAATTTTAATAGGGTTCGTCCAAACAAATGTTATTTGGAAAATTTCATCACAATCGGATAATAAAAGCGACCTGCATTTTGTTCACAAGAATACATGGACGGACAGACGGACGTACGGACGGCATAAATCGACTCAGAAAGTAATTTTATGAAGATCCTCAAAACTATGGGTCAATTTCGGTTCCTTCTCCATGTTACAAACAAATGCGAAAAGACAAAGAAGTCTTATCATTAAGTGGTGTAGGGTATAAAAAGGGACAAAATAAACGGACCCCTTGTACCATATTCGATACCATCAAAAAATGCGGAAAGAATCATCAAATTTTTATACACCGCACATCCAAATATTTTTATATATTTCAGATCATGTATATATATGGTATACGCAGATCATACATTCTGGTAACTTCTTCACAACAATTCAAAACATTTTATTTAAATATTTTTTTTATTTTCAATTTTTTTATTATTATTATTTTTTTTTTTTTGAGATTTACCTCCTCAGTCAGATGTTAACAAAAAATATGAAAAATATATCATCCCTTCAACAAATATTCATAATAGCCATTTTTGTAATTGATTTACCAGTTTTAAAAATTGCTTTAAAAAAATATATTTTTCTTGAAAAAAAATTATTCTAAAAATTATTTTTCTTGAAAAAAAAATATTTTTTTAATATTTTATTTGAATATATTAATTACTACAATTAATTGTAATCTGTTTTATGTACATAAGTTGTTTAGCCTTTGGTCTAACTATTTCTTTTGAACACCTCTTTACATCCCTATTAGTTATATGATACCCCTCCTTTATATGCAGGCTCGGGATAACTTCGCAAAAACGGCGATGATCCAAAATAAAATTGTGCAATTTGTTCATAATGTTCCGCCGGCAGCGTTGATTCCGCAGTTATTTTACTCAGAGTTGGTGCTGCTTGAATTCTTCCTATGGGACAAGAACTACTTGGCCCTAAGGATGAAATGTGTCCTCCAGGATAATTAATTTGCAAATAATTTCCCAAGGGACCATTTTTGGAATACAAAGTTCGATACAGATGCTTACTGGTATCCGACATGGTTTTGGCGGCACGAATATATCTGCCAGACTCGAGGGTTTCCAAATAGTCATCATCTTCTTGGGGTAAGGGGTCCACAATGGAATCTACAAAAGAAATTACAATTTAATTACACAAGATGTTTTATGCAATAATTTCCTCTTCTCCTACCTCTAGTATTCGAAAGACGATCTGCTGGCAATGCTTCTGCCAAAATCGCCACACAAACTAAATAAATAAAATTCTTCATGTTCAATACTAAATTCTAATTTAATTTGACTAATCTTTTCTAAAGTAACTGAGTTTTATAGCCTCTGCAATGGCTTTAAGAATTTTATAGCTTGTCTGTAATCCCAAGACACTAGTCTTGCAAAAACGTCTCGCATTAATGCCTGTCTATTATCATCCCAAGTTTACCCGTTTGCACACACCACCATGTTTATCACATTCTTCGTTCGCATTGAAAACTATTTCGAAGTCATTTCACAACGATAATACCACAAATAACACTAAACTCAATTAGCTGACCACGTTAGGTTTTCAAAACGCTTTTTAAATAAATTTCAAATTGCTTGTGACTTCGGTCGTAAACGATAAACGGAACGGCGTATTAAATAATTTTACTGCCACCAGACGAGACAAGTAGAGCAGAAGTCAAATTAAAATAAATAGAAGACAAGATTTTTTATGCGTGTGTGTGTGTGATGAATGTCTGAGTCGTATACGCACACGCTCACACATTTTAGTAAAAAATTAAACGTTTTCAGGTAAACATAGTTGGATAAAAATTTTTGGTGGAATTTTAAATAGAAAAAATTAAAAAAAAATTAAATAAAATGGCGTAATGAATAAAATTAAAAAATCAGAATGTGAATATCCTATTTAGACATTTTTTCCGAAACTGGGGCATATATGACAATTGTTTGGAGAAGTACCCCATACCCATAAAGGTTCAAAATATTCAAAGAATCTTTTTTTTATTGCAAGCGAAGTTAGTATTTTCGAGCGAAGGATGGTCCGAGTTTTCCAAACTTCAAAACTTTTTATATTTTCTTTTTAAAATACTGCCGAAAAATTTAAATTTTTGAAAAAAAAAACATAGAATTGTTTATCATGAGCATTGGCCAAGCATAGAGAGCAGCTGGAGCAGGTGTTTATATGTTTAAGACCTTTTGCAATGACCAAAAAATGTGGAGTTTTATAAGACTTTCTAGCCAAGAATGTTCAGCAGGAAAACCTATTTTTTTTTTGTTTTTGCAATAATATTTTTTATTGAAATAATATAAAATATAAATTTTTTTCTAGATTTTCTGAACAAACATCTTGGATATTTTAAGAATGTATTTCAGATTTTTTCGCCAAAGTCGTGGATTTTTTCGCAAATTTCTTAGAAGTGTTTTCAAAGATTTCTTGTTAATAATTTCTAATTTTTTCAGACATTTAAAAAAAAAAAATTCCTCGCAAAAGTCTTGGATTATTGTTAGAATTTTTTTTGTGGATTTTACACACGATGAACATGGACTTTGTGGCCAAAATCATTCTTTTCAAGAATATTCACAACCATATTCTAAATTTTGCCCTTAAATTATAAATTATAGCCCTTTACAATATATCCTTGATAAATTGAACATAGTTTATTCATAATTTTATAATATAATTTTAATAATATATTATTATTTTTTTTCGTTACAGGTAAGACGTTTAAACTTTCAAATTTTACTTTGAAGATGGTAGGAATGAGAATGATCTTTAATTAAATTTAAAAAAAAATATACATAAAAAATTGTTTAGCCTCAAAAAGGGTCGATTTTCAATATTATTATACCCACCATACATAGTATGAAGTGGTATATTAAGTTCGTCATTCCGTTTGTAACTCATCGATCCGTCTGTCGTAATCACGCTAGAGTCAAAAAGAATAAGGATATTAAGTTAACATTTTGCACAGGTCAGTCTTTTTTGTGCAGCCAGGTCAAGTTCGAAGATGGGCTATATCGGTCCACGATATCGAATGGCCCCCTTATAACGGTACCCCACGATATTCGATATTTTGTTGATTTTAGGCACATTTTTCAATGGAATATTCTGAAATTCTACACAAGGAGTTCGATGCGGGTTCTTTACTCCCTGAATAGCATTGTCTATATAGGTCAACGATATCGTATATCCCCCATATAACGGTACTTCCTTTTATTCGGTATTGTGATGATATTAGCGACATTATTCACTGGAATTGTTTCGAATTTCGGAATCGCTACTACATCCTATGACAGAAAAGTACTTGTCCAGCACCACTTCTTCGTATAGCCCCTATATAAGGGATTTTATTTAGGCGATATTTTTAGACGTTTTTTTTTTTAATTTTCAAATTTCTTCAAAATGGTGGAGGGTATAAAAAGTTCGAACTTAGCTGTTTTTTTTTTTACTTGTTTGTCCTCGAAATACCTGAATTATTTCCGAATCTCTATATCTGTCCCAATGTCAAATTTAACAAGATTATCAAAACTATATAAAATCTACATATATACTTTGATCTCTTAGTTTATTACAACGCCGATTCTCGATTATGTAGGAAACATATTAGCTATTAGCCAAAGTAACACAGTTCTGATATTTAGACGAGGAGTGCTCTTGAACACGATTTTTTTAAAGATTTTTTTGTAAGTTTCTAACTAAAAAATGTTTGTCTTAAAGAACAGCACAATTTTTTCTGTACTGTTTACTTCTTAATAATTTAATTTATTTATTTATTTTTTTTTTGAGTTCTAACAATATTGGACCAGAACTTCCAAAAACATATTTTTGATAAAGATATCAGTCCAGATTCACTATTGTACCAGTCTTTAATATCTAAATACTAAAGTTTATTCACAACAAAAATCAGAATTTGTTGGGGCTATTAAAATATCCATAATTATGACACTTCCATTATATGGGGGCTACATGCACCATTTTTGCGAAGAATTTTTCTATTCATTAGGATTTCAAAATATCAAATTACAGGTACTTTGGTTGGAACATTTAAAAAAAATCTGAAAAATAACAAAAATCCACTATTGAGTTAGAAAACTTCAAAATGCTGAAACTCAGGGGTTAACGTTGGATAGCAAATACTGGGCATATTGAGAGAAGAAATTATTATATATATGTCATTGGAGTTAGTATAGCCTCCATATAGTTGTGCATTTGGTATTTTGACATTTTTAACGATATTGCTAAAAATTCGGTATTTAGATTTCGTTAAGGTTTCTACTCTTATATCAGAACAATTTATAAATGTCAACGTTTTTTCGATTTGGATGATTTAAGCCCGAAATTGTTTGGAATTTGGGTTACATATACCTAATGACAGAAATGACCTACTCCCCTAGAATACTGGTAATTATACACTACATCATACTGTGATATAGGGTATTTGTTTGTAATTATTTATTTGTTTGTAATAATTGGAATTATTATTTGTTTGTAATAATTCCTTCATAAAATCACATTCTGAGTCGATTTATGCCTGTCCGCTATCCGTCTGTCCATGTATTTTTGTAGACGAAGTACAGGTCGTTTTTATTGTCCGACTGAAATGAAATTATTCATAAATTACAAAATTTGTTTGGCCCAAGTACGAACCCAATTGAAATTTGTGAGAATCGGTCCAAATTTAGATATAGCTCCCATATATATCTTAATTTGATTTCAATTTAGCTATGCGCCATATGTATAATATTCATCCAATGTATTCTGGTACATTCGACAGAATTCAGCCGAGATGAAAGTACTTCAAATTTTGTGAAAATCGGTTCAGATATAGCTATAGCTTTCATACATATGTTTCATGCGATTTGGTGTTTGAGCCCCTCAACTTCGAAATATGCACTCTACAACAATGATGTTTGGTACCAGATATTAGTTACAGCTCAGAAATACATCTGCCAAATTTTACCGAGATCGATTAAGATTTGGAAATAGCTTCGATACATATCTTCATCCGTTATATGCAATATCAACCTAAATTTAATGGATTTTTGCACCAATTTTTGCATTTGAAAATTGTAATTGCTCATATAGACCCTAATGAAATAGCTACATTCGGTATTTTTAAGATTTTAACAAAATTTTTAACGGATTTTATTGGTTTTGAGAATTGCCAAATTTGTTCCAAATGGTGGAGGATATTCAAAGTTTGGCCCGGCCGAACTTACAGCTTTTTTTACTTGTATAGTACTAGTACTAAAAGTCTTACAAAATTGGTAGAAATAAAATTAACAAAGCTTTTAAGTTGATAGTTGTTTTATTGGTACAAAAATATAAAAAAATGGATTACGTTATAGAATATTTACAAACTATATACAGATAATAATATTTTCGAATTAATATATAATACTTAAATTTTAGACTTTGAAACAATTTTCGGTTGATTTTTTGCTGGCGTAATTTTTTCCTTCACCTTTCCATTAGAACCTGCTCTCTCAGTTGGTCTAATCGTTGATCTTTCCAGTACAACTCTAGGTTTATTGTGAGTAGTAAAATTTATTCGGTTATCTTTAGCGTTTTATAATCATTGCTTTCAGAATTCTTATTAAAATCCGCCTCAAAAGATAAAACGGGATTTATTGTACTCAATACATCGCATAGCCAGATGGGTAAGACGGACCAAGCTGAATCGACAAATAATAATTAAAATTAAAAAAAAAAATATTAATTTCCGTTTATTGTGGAATCTTGAAACAAGCTACCTTCTCCTCTTCGTTTGGCCTCCTCCTCCAGTTGTTGCAAGCCAGGATACCTTGCAATGTCGGTACTTATTTTGCCACACACAGGCTGATGGCTTAACGATTTGGGTATTCTTTTGGAGCTATATATTGGAGTATTTATGTTCCTATTAGTTGGGGGAGGGCCTGGTGGATAAAGAATTCAAGGCGTAAAATTAATGTAAAAAATTTATAAAAATTTTGAATTAAAAAAATTTGAAAACTAAATATTTCAACTAAATATTATGGCTACCTTGTTGAAACTTCTGGGGTTCGTGATATAATTGGCTAGGATTAGCATATGAATTAAAGTTTGGGTCAAGCTTCACATAAGTTGGTTGGTTATATGGAACTTCTTGAGGTTTGTAGTCTAAAAATAAAAAAAGAGGGCTTATAGTTAAAGTTCTGTAGGAAGGGATTAGAAAAAAAATTTTTCAAAAAAAAATGCAAATTTTCTTCTTTGTCACCTACTTGTTCTAGAAATCGGTTGTGGTGCCAATGAGGGAGCATATTTAATTGGCACAGGGTGATTCGGCTGCGGTACTTCAATATATTCAATAATCAGCGGTAATTCTTCGCGAGGGTGTTGTGGCCTGCTAGGGTATTGAATGTGATTGGATGAACTGCCGGATAAATCACCAAAAGCAAAAGGCTGATAGGGCGGATGAAATGGGTGAGGCAATCTGTTATTGTAGTTGTTATCACGGCAGGGTCCTTGATTAAGTAGCACCCAATCTAAGCAAATAAGAAAATTTTGAAATAATTTTTAAAAAGTTCTGGCATTGGAAACTTACCAATTTTACTTTGGCACCTGGATCGCTGAAGTTCACAGCTATTTTGAAACTCTCTAACTTCTTTGCCAAATGCAGCACAAACTGGCTGATGAAATTTCGGACAGAAACGAGGACACTGTCGATTAGGTGAACAGTGTCCACGATGTTGGACCCGAAAGTCTGGAAATGAAGGAAAAAGAAAGAAAGAAAGAACGCAGAAAAATTAGAATAAAATAATAGAAGAAATGACTAAAACAGCGCCGGTAGTTCTTCTACGGCTAGAAGAGTAACTGCAGCTCTTCTATTACCAAAATATCTCCTTTATGACTAAAGCACAAACTAAAAAACCTTTATCTGACCATAGAAGAGCTGCTATAGCACTTCTATGGCCAGAAGAGCTATAGCAGCTTTTCTATAGCCAGATGAGCTATAGTAGCCTTCTATGGAAAGGAGAGATCCTATAGCTTTTATGTGGTTAAAGAGCTTCTGAAGTTCTTCTGTGACTAGAAGAGCTCCTGTAGTTCTTCTGTGGCTAGAAGAGCTCCTGTATTTCTTCTATGGACAGTAGATCTTCTGTAGTTATTCTATGGACAGGAAAACTGTGATCAGAAGAGCTCCAGCAGCTCATCTTTATACAGAAGAGCTCCAGCAGCTTATCTGTATACTGAAGAGCTCCAGCAGTTCATCTGTGGCTAGAAGAGCTCCTGTAGTTTTTCTGTGGCTAGAATAGCTACAGGAGATCTACTGTCCATATAAGAGATCCTGTAGCTCTTCTGTGTCTAGAAGAGCTCCTGTAGCTCTTCTATGGACAGTAGATCTCCTGTAGCTATTCTATGGGCAGGAAAGCTGTGGCTAGAAGAGCTCCAGCAGCTCTTCTATGGCTAGGATATCTCCATCAGCTCTTTTATTGCGAGAAGAGCTACAGCAGCTCTTCTATTGCTAGAAGAGCTCCAGCAGCTCTACTATTGCTAGAAGAGCGCCAACAACTCTTTTATAGACATATCTCCTGTAGCTCTTCTGTAGACAGGAGAGCTTCTGTAGCTCTTCTGTGAGCAGGATAACTCCGTAGCTCTTCTGTAGCTAAAGGAGCTTCTGTAGCTGAGCTTTACCAGTTCTTCTATGACTAAAAGAGCTCCTCTATGGGTAGAAGAGCACCTGCAGCTCTTCTGTGGTCAGAACATCTGCAGCTGTGTTTTGGTTAGAATAGCTTCAGCAGCTCTTCTCTGGCCAGAAGAGCTAAAGCAGCTGTTCCACGACTAGGCAGCAGATCTTCTACAACTAGAAGATCTCCAGCAACTCTTCTAAGGTTAGAAAAGCTCCAGCAACTGGCTAGAACTGGCTGCAACTCTTCTAAGGCTAGAGTTGATTATATGCCTAAAGCTACTTCTGTGGCAAAAAGAGCTCCTTAAAATTATTTCTTCTTGTATTCTAGGGGTTTGAAAAATAGGTATGTCGCCTTACCCCTTCCCAGATTACAAGCGGCCCGTTGCATTTCACAGACATTCTTAAAGTTCCTTAGCTCCTGTGTTTTCAAATCTAGGCCACAAATTGGCTCCACAACATGTGGACAGGGCGGACAACGTGAAAAACACAGCTGCATGGGACATTCCAGATATTCTGCGGAAAAGAAAACCAAAAATTATTCATGCAACAATTTTCAAAAATGTAATCCAATACATACCTCTATGACCTCGGATCAGGGCCTGATAATTATAATTACTCAAAAAACATTTGTTACGGAAATGCAAGAAAACTTCACCATTTGTGGCACAAATGGGTTGCAGCAAGTCCGGACATCCTTGATGGTAGTTGACCACATGTACAGAATCCGGGCGCTGAGCATGATACAAATGATTGTAGGTCCTTCGAGGAATATTGTAGGGCTGAATTGGCCCATTAAGCCTAAAAACCACTGGCCCAAAATGGTTATGGGCCCATGTTTGAATAACAAAAGACAATAATGGCAGAAGATACTTCATGTTTCGTAACTCAAATCGAATTAACTTTCAATTTGTTGCAAGTTTGGTTTTTGTTTATTTTCTTTCTATACCGGCCTAATTTATGTAGAATGTAAAGCCCCCTCCCGATTATCTTTCTCCATAACTTTTGTCAAAGCGTACGTGCCAATTAAGTTGTTTAAACAGTTTAGATTTTTTTCTGAAACGCGTTCTAAGCCACACGCACACAGACATTCAATCGCTCACTCACAAATTAAGTTGCCACTTTATTCTCTATCAAATATTTTATGGACCACATGCCACCAGAATAATCCTCATAAATTTAATAATAACCAACACCCAATAGATTACCGGAACAAACGTTGAACATGTTCGATGTGATAACAAACAAACTTAACAACCCACACACACAAACATACACACCCATACAAATAAACACACAGGCCGATAAACAGCCGGCAGGCCAAACACCTGATGAGCTGCTCCATCGATTCGAAGTGGTGAAAGATGTTCTCCTAAAGCTCTCAACTGTTGGGAAGAGAGTTTTTGATTGTGTTTTCTTTGGGAAAATGTGTGGCCAGGGATGGAGAAGTGAGATCTTTCGAAACAAGACTTAGGAAAACTGCTTTGTTCATAGACTTCTTTGATAGAAGAGCTCCTACAGCTCTTCTATAGATAGAAGAGCTCCTACAGGTCCTACAAACCTTCTATGGATGGAATAGCTTCTACAGCTCTCCTATAGATAGAAGAGCTCCTACAGCTCTCCTATAGATAGAAGAGCTCCTACAGCTCTTCTATGGATAGAAGAGATCCTACAGCTCCTCAATGGATAGAAGAGCTTCTACAGCTGATCTGTGGGTAGAAGATCTTCTACAAGTCTTTTGTGGTTAGAGGAGCGTCTATAGCTCCTCTATGGACAGAAGAGCTCCTACAGCTCTTCTATGGAGAGAAGAGCTCCTACAGCTCTTCTATGGCGAGAAGAGCTCCTACAGCTCCTCTATGGAGAGAAGAGCTGCTACAGCTCTTCTATGGAGAGAAGAGCTCCTACAGCTCTTCTATGGAGAGAAGAGCTCCTACAGCTCTTTTATGGATAGAAGAGCTCCCACAGCTCTTCTATGAATTGAAGAGCTCCTACAGCTCTTCTATGGATTGAAGAGCTCCTACAGCTCTTCTATGGATTAAAGAGTTCCTACAGCTCTTCTATGGATTGAAGAGCTCCTACAGCTCTTCTGTGGATAGAAGAGCTCCTGTAGCTCTTCTATGGAGAGAAGAGCTCCTACAGCTCTCCTATGGATAGAAGAGCTTCCACAGTTCTTTTATGTAGAGAAGAGCAGCTACAGCTCTTCTATGGAGAGAAGAGCTCCAACAGCTCTTCTATGGAGAGAAGAGCTCCTACAGCTCTCCTATGGATAGAAGAGCTTCCACAGTTCTTTTATGTATGAAAGAGCTTCTACAACTCTTGTATGGATAGAAGATATTCTACTGCTCTTCCAGGGATAGAAGAAGTTATACACTTCTTCGATGAGAATAGAGAATAGCTCCTACAGATACTCTATGCATAGAATAGCACCTACAGATCTTCTATGGATAGAAGAGCTCCAATCGTTCTCCTGTAGATAGATTATTTTTATTAATTCGTATAGCTCTAGAAGCCTTCTAAGTTGTAGAATGTCCACAGCACATCTCTCCCACTACAGAAGACAAAATAAAGATCTTCGGACGATTCGATAGAAAACACTCCAAAACAGGCGTTTTAGAGATCTTCAATTTTAAGGGTTATCAGCCATTACAAGTTTTACTCCCATCTCTGATTATTGCTAGTCAGCGTAAGAAGAAAAAAACACCTTTAAGAACAGAACGGAAAAATCATAATACAGTTAGACAAGAAGAGTATCTATATGTGAGAGAGTCAACCATTTCCTCCCCAACAAAGAAAAGTGGTTGATCAACAAGTTACCAGGTGTTGTAGACATCAACAAACATGAACGCAGCTAAGCTAAAGAGAATGCCAAAGAGTATTCCACATCTAAGAGAGACACACTGTAATCTACCACCACCACGCACACACAGACAAAGAGTGCGATAATAAACATTTCAGTTGGCGGCTTCTAAGCTCAGCTTGATTTTCTGTTTGCAACCACCACGATCACCAAACCACATCTCTCCGCACTACGTGAGTTTTGGCCAAATACAACAATCAGTTTAAATGGTACGAGCGGAAAACTCAGACGTGTTAACGGATAACGACAATGTGAAATTCATCTGCGACATTCTTCGCTGGCGACAAAAATATGAAATAAAAACCAAAAAAAATTCGAACGAAACGAAATCATTACAAAATTCCTCTAAACGTGACAAACTAATTAGGTTTAATTGTTTTTTGGCCAATGATTTAGAAAAAAAGGTTGTGTGTGCGAGTGAGTGTGTGTTTAACGACAGGTGATAAAAACGACATTTAGTGCATAGTTATTATTCCTCGGCGAAAGAATGTGTAATAATATTTTGTAATTATGCAGCAGAAAGAATGTTCAAGAGAAATGCAAAATATGTAACGGTAAAATGTTGGAAATAAACAAAACTTAAAGAAAATAATAATTATAAGAAACGGGAAGAATAAGAAATAAACTTTCGTCATAAAAAAAAAAACAAAAAAATATAACAAAAAAAATATTGTATTTAAAAAATATTCAAATTATTATGATATTAAAAAAATATTTTTTATGTGCTTTCCTACAAGTTTTAATATAAAAGAGCAGTTTTGATTATTTTACTTAAAAAAGAAAACGTCACTTTCTAAAAACAAGAATTTCATAAATATTGTGTCTCCATTGGAAAACCAACTTCCGCTTGACTTATTTTGGATTATTTGGCGAAATTTTTCAAATTAAAATTTAAGGTAATTTAAAGAGTTTATATATGTATTCAAATATTTAAATACTATAAGAAAGTCTTATTTTTTTGTAAATTAGTAATATTCCATAAAAATCGAAGTTTGATTTGATCCTTGAAAATATAATTTAAGGTCCTCAGTAAAAAATATTTGTTATAAAATCGACGCTGATGTAAGAATTAAAACAAATTGAAAACAAAACACTATTATTTTGGGCCTCAAAAATGTCGTGGATAAAAAAAAAAATCCACGGTGCTGCTAAAACTTGAAAAATTATCTTTAAATAAAAAATGCACATTCATTCAGGTTTTGATTTTATATACATTTTTTATGTTTTACTACGTTTCCGTAGCCTAATGACCATGTCGGGTGAAGCCACTAGATTAATTGTCCAATGTTCTGAGATATAGAAATAGAAAATGCTCAAGGTAGATCGTTGTTTTTGGTATTTTTGTACGAGGTAGGACTTACAAAACACTATATCAGCGATCTATTTTACATGGGTGATATGCCAGAATCTGGAACCATATTAAGTATTTTTTGCGAGATTGTGTTCTTAATATCTCAAAAAATATCAACTTAGAGTAATTTCCGGTGAAGAGTTTTGACTAGGATCTTAAAATCACCAAAATAACAGGATATGCCATATGGGGCTTATATCGAGGACCTAAATTGCAGAAATTTCATTAAATAAATTTTTAATACACGAGAAGCCACAATGCCTATTTTCAACCAAAAATTGAGGCCTAAACCTTCAAAATTTCGGAAATAGCATCAAATTGTTGAATAAGTTTCGATTTGTTCGAATTGGTCACCTTTGGCAAGAATTATGGCCTTCAAACGGCCAATGAAACGCTGCCCGAATGTTGCTCTGCGGTATTTTGGCCCATTCCCGGCGAAGCGCTTACTTTGGAATTTTTTCCAAAATACTCCAGACACAATAGTCCGACAGATTGGTGTTCGGAGAATTTGCTGGCCATTGTGCGCTGGAAATGAAGGAAGGAGGAACTTCATTTCGTAACCATTCTTGGGTGGCACGTGCTGAGTGCGATGGTGCTGAGTCCTGTTAGAATGTCCAAGGTCTGCGGCCAAAATGTTTGTGTGCCCAAGGCTTTAATACATTTATTTATTAATTTATTCTGCCGCGGTCGATTAATATGAGCGGAGAGCGGTCACCGCCTGTTATGGCGGCCCATACCATGCCACCGTCGATTAGTATGAGCGGAGAGCGACCATCGGCTGTTACGGTGGCCCACACCATCACAATGGCCGGCGCTTGAGTTCTGGTGGCCAACCGAAGGTGCACATTTTCCGTTGACCTCTTTGGCAAGTAAACACGATCATTTTGTTTGTTTACAAACTGCTAGTCAACGAATGTTTTCTCATCGGAGAAAACCAAATTCGGCAGTTCAGAACATTCGGCCAAGCTAAAGAGTTGCGCTCTTTTGAGTCTATTTTCTTTCTGTTGCAGTGTAAGTTCTTGCAATTTTTGGAATTTCAATGCCTTTACCTTATTATTTCATGATTGATTACAATTTTCACTCTTTAGAACCCTGAACTTGGCCAAACAGTGGTTCATAGAAATAATGTTTTCAGACCCCACAGATTTTTGGAACACAATATAGTTTTGTCTGGTGCTCGCAATAACTCTCGACGAAAAAATGTGAGTACGTGTAAATGTTTCCCATTGTAATATTTTTTGTCAATCAAAAAAGAACTCTGTCAATCCTTTATTTTCTAAAAATATATATAATTCTAATCTTTAGTCGGAACCCAATAGCTTCTGCATGATATAGTTTTCTGTTTTTTAAAATACTCCTTAGATAATTATATTTCTATCAGAACTAGTTCGAGCAAGAATGTGGAAGATATCAGCCCTCTCCCTCTCGAATTGCAACCACTTCCACGGCTTCAAAATGCTCAAAACCAAGAGGACCTGTAATATGGGAGCTAAGGCAAATACTGAGCCTGTATAAAATCGTTGTAGCGAGGAGAAGGTCTACCTAATTAGAAACTGAAATATTAAAGAGAGAGAGATGAGTCAGATTTTGTTCAAAATTGAACATCTCAATATTTTTGCTTATATTATATTAATCTTGAAAATGGGCCAAGTATAGTTCCTTCCAGTCAAATTTTTTAAAATCATGAATTACACATAAATTGATTGAAAACCCCAATTTCATCCAAACTGTCTCATCTTAAAGGAGACTTTTGGAATTAAAAATGCTGCAGAGACGTTTGAGAGAGGTTTTTAACAACCCGATATTTTTTCGATTCACACATTTTTGGTACAATTGCAAAATATTGTGTATAGCCTGCAATAAATACATTAAAATAATTCTGATCATTGAGATCGCGAATGCTACTTTATTTCTAAATCAATATATAATATTCACATCGATAAAAACAATTAATATTGTTTTTATGTTTAATTATATCAAGCATCACCTCAAAATTTACCTTGTCGATATGAGAGTCTTGACAAGTACCAGAAAAGTGACAAAAAATTCAGAAAAAGCTTACTTAGAAAAAGTCTCAGAAATTATGTATATTTAAACCAGTAAAGAAAGTCCTAAAGTCGGGCGGGCCGATTTTATGATACCCTACACCACTTTGCTAATTTAGTAGAGCTCCGCATAACAATTAA